CTCTCTCTCTCTCTTTCTCAAAAAAATAAATAAATAAAGATTAAAAAAATTTAAAAAAAGGAATAAGTAAAAATGTCACTATTTGTAGATGATATGATCTTTGTATATAGAAAATCCCAGAGACTCAACCAAAAAACTGTTAGAGTTAATCAACAATTTTAGTGAGGTTGCAGGATGTAAGACCAACACACAGAAACCAGTAGCATTTCTATACAGTAATAAAACAGTGTGGTACTGGCATAAAATAGATACACAGACCAGTGGAACAGAGTAGAGAGCCCAGGATCAAATGTGGCAAATCTGGCAACTCAACAAGGGAGCCAAGAACACCCAATGGGGAAAGGCCAGTCTCTTCAACAAATGCTGCTGGGAAAACACGCAGAACAATGAAAGCAGACTCCTATCTTACACCACTCACAAAAATTAACTCCAAATAAATCTAAATACCATAGAACTGATACCATAAAACTCCTAGTAGAAAATGTAGGCAAGAAACTGCTCGACATTGGACTTGGTAATGATTTTTTTGGCTGTAACACCAACACCACAAACAACAAAAGCAAAAATTGATTCATGGGACTACCTCAAACTCAAAAGTTTCTGCAGAACAAGATAAACAATCAACAAAATGAAAGAACAATTAACAAAATGGGAGAACAGTGTTGCTACCCATATGTTGGAGAAGAGGCTAATCTCCAGAGAACTCCTGCAAGTCAAGAACAAAAAACCACAGTATCTGATTGGAAAATGGGTGGAGGAACTCAACAGACATTTTCCCAACGAAGACACACAAAGGCCAGCAGGATAAGATGTTCAACATCATTCATCATCAGGGAAATGCTGATCAAACAAAACCACAATGAGACGCCACCTTGCACCTGTTAGAATGGCCATCACCAAAAAGACAAAAGGTAACAAATTTCGTAGTTCCATACACATTTTAGGACTGTTTGTTCTATTTCTGTGAAAAGTGCCTTGGAATTTTGACAAGGGATGGCATTCAATCTGAGGCTTGGTTTGGGTAGTGTGGGCGCTTTACAATATTAATTATTCCCAGCCATGAGCATGGATTATCTTTCCATTTATTTGTGTCTTCTTCCTTTTCTTTCTTCAGTGTCTTAACATTTTCAGAAAATAGGTCTGTCACCTCCTTGGTTAAATGTATTCCTCGGCATTTTATTCTTTTGACACAATTGTAAATATGATTGATTTCTTAATTTCTTTTTTGAATAGTTTGTTGTTGGCTTATAGAAATGCAACTGATTTTTGTATATTGATTTAGCATTTTGCAACTTTATTTTATTTATTTATTAAAAAATTTTTTTTAATGTTTATTTTTGAGATAGAGACAGAATATGAACGGGGGAGGGGCAGAAAGTGAGGGAAACACAGAATCCCAAGCAGGCTCCGGCTCCAGGCTCCGAGCCGTCAGCACAGAGCCCGACGTGCGGCTCAAACTCGGGAACAGCGAGATCATGACTTGAGCCGAAGTCAGATGCCCAACTGACTGAGCCCCCCAGGTGCCCCGTCTTTAAGTATTTTCTAATTTGCCTTATGATTTCTTCTTTGGCCCAGGGATTGCTTAAGAGTTTATGGTTTACAGATTACAAATCTTCACATATTTGTGAATTTCCCAGTTTTCCTCTGTTGTTGGCTTCAACTTCGTTCCATGCGGTCCGAGAAGATACGTGGTACAATATCGATCTTTTAAAACCCATGAAGACTCATTTTGTGGCCTCACATCGGGTCTGCCCTGGAGAACGTCCATGTGCACTTGAGAAGAACGTGGGTTCTGCTGCTGCGTGGAGTGTCCTGCACTGTCTGTGGGTCTCATCGGTTTACTGTTCTGTTCATCCCTCTCTTTCCTCATCTTCTGTCTCAGACCCTTTAAATCTTGATTTTTGCTTGTTCAGTCTTTCAAGTTGTTTTTGTGTTTTTTTTTTAATGCTTATTTATTTATTTTGAGAGAGTGAGAGAGCACAAGTAGGACACGGGCAAAGAGAGAGTGGGGGAGAGAGAATCCCAAGCAGGCCGTCCACGCTGTCAGCACGGAGCCCAACGCGGGGCCCAAACTCATGACCCATGAGGTCATGACCTGAACCGAAATCAAGGGTTGGACGCTCAACCGACTGAGCCACCCAGGCATCCCTCAAGTTTTCTTTAATTGACTTTTAGTGACTAAGAATGTCCTGGAAAACCAGGCACATCATCATTTTAAGATTTATTTACATAGTGTTTCTAATAATTATTGGAAAAAAAGCCCAAATGGACATTTACGCTAAATTAAAAATTATAGCTGAGCCTTGAACACAGGGGTTAGGGTGCCGACCCCCCATGCAACTGAAAATCCACGTAATACTTTTGACTCCCTAAAACTTCTCTTCTAATAGCTTGCTGTTGAACAGAAGCCTCACTGGTAACAGTCAATCAACACACACGCAGCATGTCACATGTATTACAGACTATATTCTTACAATACAGCAAGGTAGGAAAAAGAAAATGCCATTAGGAAAACCATAAGGAAGAGAAAAATACATTTACAGGCCTGTCCTGGTATTTATGGGGAAAAATCCGTGTAGACGGACTGGTGCTGTCCGAGACTCGACTGCATCTGTTCTCAAACTGCCTGCTTACCGGGTTGTATAGCGTCTAATTGTTTTCCTTTAAGTTCCGAAGCAGACTTTTTCCTTTCCTGGATCATTAACTTGTGTGTGGGACAGAACTAGGCTAATGTAGGCACACCGGTTGTTAAAATGTTGAGATACATCTGTGGTGGTTGCTGAACGGGCCTGCCTCATGCCCTGGAGAGCCCACTGTCGGCCCTACCCCTGCCTACCCTGGCCCTCTACCCCCCGTCAGTCCTCTCTGGTGGCCTCTGGACCTGAAGCTGCTCTGTGACAAGAGCTGGCGCTCCCTGGTTGGTGCCTGAGCCACAATGGCAGACGGATGCCTCCCATATCACTCCTGCATAGGAGAGTTTTGTAGGGTCGGAGGTCAGTGTGTGGGCTTGAGCGAGACGGCCTGGGTTAGAGCGTGGGCACCACTTAGAGGCTCAAGATGTTGGACAAATAGGGCGCCTGGGGGCATGAGTCAGCTGAGTGTCTGACTTCAGCTCAGGTCATGATCTCATGGCTCATGGGTTCGAGCTCCACGTCGGGATCTCTGCTGTCAGTGTGGAGCCTGCTTCAGATCCTCTGTCCCCCTGTCTCTGTCTCTCCCCTGTTCACGCTTCTCTCTCTCTCAAAAATAAAAACATTAAAAAAAAAGATGCTGGACAAATGTTGAATCTTTCGATTTAGTTTTCTCCCTTATAAACATCGCCCTTATAAACCTTCTGAAAGCTGACCTGAGGATTAAATGACAAGTCTGTATAAAGCAGCAGCATGGTATTTGCAACATATTGCACTCACACAATGGATGTCAGCTATTATCCACACGTATCTAAATATTACTATATAGGTAGATCATAACCTGCAACAAAATATTAGCAAAAAAATGACCTACCCACATAAAGAAAAAAAATTAATAATTTCCTTCAAAAATGTCCAACACTTTATATACATATTTGGGTTTGCAAGAAATGCCCAGGGGGCCAAGCAGGTGACAGAAATGCCTGACGTGACTTGGGGGCTCATTATCGCCTGGTGAGCATGCCGGCCCAGGGCTGCCTGATCTTCTGAATTAATCAGGAGAAGACAGATAATCAAATTTTAAATAAATACCCAGATTTAAATTAAAAAAAAATTTTTATGTTTATTTTTGAGAGAGAGAGAGAGACAGAGACACAGAGTGCCAGCAGGGAGGGGGGGCAGAGAGAGGGAGACACAGAATCGGAAGCAGGCTCCAGGCTCCCAGCTGTCAGCACAGAGCCTGACGCAGGGCTCGAACTCACGAAACGTGAGATCATGACCTAAGCTGAAGTTGGACGCTTAACTGACTGAACCACCCGGGTGCCCCATTAAATAAATTCCCAGATTTTAAAGTGTAGATAACCACATTGAAATGTAGGGGTTTGGGAGACATTCCCTGCTATGTGGCCATCCGCAGGGTGCCACCTCACCCACTCTCAGGATGTGTGTCCGAGGGCTGGTGACCTCAGTCCTGGCTCTCATAATGACACCCCAACTTTAGCTTAAACCAAGACATTTAAGAAATAACCATGTCTTGGGGCCCCTGGGTGGCTCAGTCGGTGAAGTGTCTGACTTCGGCTCAGGTCATGATCTCGCGGTCCGTGAGTTTGAGCCCTGAGTCGGGCTCTGTGCTGACAGCTTGGAGCCTGGAGCCTGTTTCGGATTCTGTGTCTTCCTCTCTCTGACCCTCCTCCATTCATGCTCTGTCTCTCTCTGTCTCAAAAATAAATAAACGTTAAAAAAAATTAAAAAAAAAAAAAAAAAAAAGAAATAACCATGTCTTGGGACCCCTGGGTGGCTCAGTCAGTGAAGCGTCCGACTTTGGCTCAGGTCATGATCTCACGGTTTGTGGGTTCGAACCCCACATCAGGATCCGTGCTGACAGCTCGGAGCCTGGAGCCTGCTTCAGATTCTGTGTCTCCCTCTCTCTCTGCCCCTTCCCTTGCTCACACTGTGTCTCTCTCTCTCAACAATAAATAAACATCAAAAAAAAAAAAAAAAGAAACAACCATGTCTTTACAAAGCAACAGAGTAATTGATATAAACAGGTTAAGGACAGTTTTTAAGAACACAGGTTGATACTGGGCGAGTCTTCGGTGAACTGAAGTCACAAAGCTCTCCTGGGAGAAATTCGGTGAAACGGGCCAATATATTACGGACACAGTAATAATTAGCATTACTGAGCGTCTTATTATGTGATGGCGCCTTACATATAGTGTCTGTGTTATTTACTTAACCACGATTAATCTCTTCACCACCCTTGTTATCCTCGTTTTCTCCTGAACTGGTAAACTCTCCTGGGACAATGACTCTTCTTGGTGAGTCGTCTCACAAAGCGCCTGTGAGTTTAACAAGCAAATAATGCCTTACCCGCTGCAAACCTCTTTGTTTTTCGGCCAGCCTCTGTCGTGCAATTTTTAGGACACGTTGAGCTTCTGCCACTTGGATCTGCTTGGGGCCCACGAGCTGAAAAAGAAGGTCACAACACCTAAGTGGTCAAAAAGGTCAAGTTCGCCGTTAAAAATGTCGCTTTTGATGGGCAGGCATTTGTGTCAGTTCTTATAACAACCTCTCCTGGAATGATGTGCACAAAAGGGGTGTAAAGTAACTCAGTGTGGTAACACACACTAAAACAACTAAAACAGCACAGCTGCCATAAATAAAACAACCCAACAGATGCACTTGCTATCTGCAGGCGTCAGCATAGGGTCTTTGAGGAAAGTGGTTCTCGTGCGGTATTCTGTGAGCACTGTTAAGCACGAGCTACTTCTGGGACGAGGAAGCGTCCCTGCCGGGCTGTTCTCGATATTTCCGGGGAAAGAGCGTACCTTCTGCACTTCATGATAGTTGTTCAAAGCTATGACCCACTGGCACATAGAGCAACAGGCTATAGAAACGAGGACAATCTTGTTTGGGTTGAAATCAGGGAAGAGCAAAATTTTTTTCAGCTTCATGAAAACCTAGAGAAAACACAATTCATGTATTACAATAAAAAGACGTGCTGAGCTGAGGCTTTCTTCCCCCAGTTCACATGAAAGTGAAATTTTGTTTCGTATGAGAAATACTCAACTACTCTTCGGTGGCAGAATTAATGACACGTAGCCGCGGGTGCAACGGCCCTGCAGCAGAGGAGGGGGAAGTCGCTGCTGTAAACATCTAATTATTGCTACTGTTGTCACAGTGGCTTTGCTGTACTGTTTAAAAAGGAACTTCGTTTTATTTTTTTAAGTTTATTTACTTATTTTAAGAGCGAGACAAAGAGAAGGAGAGAGGGAGGGGGGGAGGGGCAGGGAGAGGGAGAGAGAGAGTCTCAAGCAGGTTCTGAGCTGTCAGTGCAGAGCCCAACACGGGGCTCGACCCCAGGAACCATGAGATCATGACCTGAGCCGAAATCGAGAGTCGGACACTTAACTGAGCCCCCCGGTTGTCCCGGGAACTCCGTTTTAAAACAAAAGTACACCAGGTTAACTTCCTCCGGCTTGCAAGGTCTGAAGCCTCCTTGTGCACCTGAGGCGTCAGGGAGCAGGACCCCGCCCGCAGCTTCTGCCGCCCGAGAGGCACATCCGCCGGGCACGGTGCCTATTTATTTATTTATTTATTTATTTATTTATTTATTTTTTAATTTTTTTTCAACGTTTATTTATTTTTGGGACAGAGAGAGACAGAGCATGAACGGGGGAGGGGCAGAGAGAGAGGGAGACACAGAATCGGAAACAGGCTCCAGGCTCCGAGCCGTCAGCCCAGAGCCCGACGTGGGGCTCGAACTCACGGACCGCGAGATCGTGACCCGGCTGAAGTCGGACGCTTAACCGACTGCGCCACCCAGGCGCCCCTACGGTGCCTATTTAAAGGTCTGTCTAGTCAGGGGTGGCGGTGCGGCCGGGGGGACACGGAGGCTCACTGAGGACACTCTCTCGCTCATCCGTGTCACGTGCCCAGAGAGCCACCTCGGCTCCATGGTACTCCTTGTTCCGAGGTGGGCACATACTATTTCTCATCTACTTTGGGGAGCCAGAACCGGAATAAAATCTTTCTCAGGCTGACAGTCCTTTTGTCTTCCTTTCCAACCAGGCATTTCCCCTCTTGTAGGACAGAACCATTTTGCTAGATAATTTAGACGGCAGGTGGCCCATTATCGGATTACTATTGGCGTTCTCATTATTGCTTCGAATACTGTCATGCTTTTAACAACTTCTTTAGATGAGCTATTATTTTAGCTTGAAAGGTCTGTTTAAACCACAGGGAATCCTTTTGGTAAGAACGCTTCAGAGAGTGAGCAGCTGTTACGTTAATTCATGAATAATATGGACATCAACATTAACACTCTGCTAAACAATTCACCTTGTTCATACAGGGCCCTACATCCCAATAGCCAGATCATCATTCTAAGTAATTATTTAACTGTGCAATGAGCTCTTGGATGTCTGGCTTCCCTATTCCGTATAAAGGAACGGGTTGCTCCTGTGACCTAGCATAATGTCTCTTATGTCCCCTGGAAGGAAGCTACTCCACCAAGCTGCTCCTCCAAGACTTGCCTGCCCAGCACGGCCTCCCACCTGCCCGGGGCCCTGAGCCCGATGCTTGCAGGCCTTGGCCCTGTTCTCATGCTCCTGGAATCCTACAGGAAATCTATATTCTTCTGAATTCAATCTACTCCAGCAAAGCCCTTCACTAGGCATCCAGACTACCTTATTTTCTTCAACTTGTTCTATGCCCCAGTCTGTCCCCCATCTCCTCAAGCATGAACTAATATTTTCTAAGTGTTCATAAGAGGTTCTGGCACATGCTGTTCTATGAATATTTGTTGAGCAAATAAAAATAAATCTCAGGGATCTAGTTCAAGATGGCGACGTAGGAGGATCCCACACTCGTCCCCTCCCACGGACACACCGGGAACTACACACGGAACAGTTATCTCCAAAAGAAACCCAGACACGACCTGAATGACCCACAGACATGGGGTGGATGTTCTGAGACACCCTCGAAATGGGCAGGAGGAGCTAAGACGCAATCTCGCCGTAACCTCCACTCTTGGCACGGTAACCCACAATCGGGAGGAAACTCAGCAGCCCAAGCTTCTCTCTGAAGAGTAGAGGGCTTGAACCCCACATCTGGCGCCTCAACTTTTTAAATTAAAAAAACTGTTTTAATGTTTATTTATTTTTGAGAGACACAGAGAGAGAACACACAAATCGGGGAGGGGCAGAGAGACACACAGAAGCCGAAGCAGGCTCCAGGTTCTGAGCTGTCAGCATGCAGCCCAAGGCAGGGCTCGAACCCATGAACTGGGGGACAATGACCTGAACTGAGCGGCAACACCTAACCCGACTGAGCTACCTGGGCACCCCTGCACCTCAACTTTTTAGACCCGCACCTGAGAGAAGATACTGGAAACACCTAGTTTTGCAAATCCATAGGGCTTCTATGCATGAGACCCACAAGGCCACAGTGAGCTGAGAAGCAGTCCTGAAAGGGCTGGTGCAGACTCACCCACCCCAGGGCCCAGCACCCAGGAGGGCGACTGAAAAGTTTCCAGCCTTTCAGTGAAAGAGGCCTATTTGCTTCGACCTGAGGGTCAGTCTTGTAATTCAACAGATCCCCAAAAACTAGCAGAAGAAGGACGAGTGGAGTCCGAAGTTAGTGGAAGGAAGAAACAACAGGAACGAGAGCAGAAATAAACGACACGGAGACTGAAAAAGCAATGGCGAAGATCAATGAATCTAAGAGTTGGTTTTTTTCGGAAAAACCAACAAAATTGAAAAACCTATAGCTAACCCACCAAGAGAAAAAGAGAGAGTGCCCAAAGAATAAAGGGAGAAACAAAAGAGATATCACAACTGATACCACAGGAGTACAAATGGGTCACAAGAGACTGCTATGAACAATTACACACCAACAAATAGGACAATTTAAAAGAAATGGATAAATTCCTAAAATCATACAGCTTACCAAAACTGAATCATGAAGAAATAGAAAATCTGGACAGAATAATTGTTGGTAAGGAGACTGCATGAGTGGTGAAAAACCTCCCAACAAACAAGTCCAAGACCGGTTGGCTTCAACGGTGAATTCTACCAAACGTTAAAAAGAATTAATATCAATCCTTCTCAAAGGCTTCCAAAAAGCAGAAAGAGAAGAAACACATCCAAACTCACTCTATGAGGCCAGTATTACCCTGATACCAAAACCAGACAAGGATGCTGCAAAAAAGGAAAATTAAAGACCAATATCCCTGATGAACAATGATGCAAAAATCCTCAACAAAATATTAGGAGACTGAATTCACTATTACACCAAAAGTACCATAAACCATGATCAAGTGGGATTTATTCCCAAGGGCAAGGACGGTCCAATGTCAATCAATGCGATATACCGCACTAAGAAAACAAAGCATAAAAATCATACTATCATCTCAATAGACGCAGAAGCAGCATGTGACTAACTTCAGTATCCATTCATGAAAAAACTCTCAACAAACTGGGTATAGCCAGAATACACCTTGACATAATAAAGACTGCACATCACAAGCCCCCAGTTAACATCATACTTAGTAGTGAGAAGCTGAAAGCTTTTCTTCTAAGATCAGGAACAGGAGAAGGATGCTTCTTCCCACAGTATTGGGACTTCTAGCCAGAGCAACTGGGCAAGAAAGAGATGAAAATCCTCCAAATCGGAAAAGAATAAATAAAACTGTCACCATTACAGAGGACGTGATATTCCATGTGGAAGGCCCTAAAGACTCCATCCAAAAACTGTTAGAAGAAACAAATTCATTACAGTTGCAAGATACAAAATCAATATACGAGATTCAGCTGCATTTCTCTACGTCAACAATGGACCATCAGAAAGAGAGATTATGAAAACAGTCCCATTTGTGGTTGCATCGAAAAGAAAATATCTTGGGGCACCTGGGTGGCTCAGTCGGTTGAGTATCCAACTTTGGCTCAGGTCATGATCTCATGGTTTGGGGGTCAAGCCCCACATCAGGCTTTGTGCTGACAACTCAGAGCCTGGAGCCTGCTTCAGATTCTCTGTCTCCCTCTCTCTCTGCCCCTCCCCCACTCATGCTTGCTCACACGCTTTCTTTCTCAAAAATAAACATTAAAAGAAAAGAATAAAATACTTAGAAATAAATTTAACCAAGGAGATGACAGACCTTCCAGTACCCTGAAAACTATAAGGCACGGATGAAGGAAACTGAGGAAGACACAGTAAGTCAAAAGATACTTTATACTCACCAATTGAAAGAATACTGTTAAAATGTCTGTAATACCCAAAGTAATCTACAGATCGAATGCAATCTCTATCAAAATTCCAATAGCATTTGTCACAAAAATAGGACAAATAATCCTAAAATGTATATGGAACCACAAAAAATCCCAAATAGCCCAAAAGTCTTGAAAAAGGAGAACAAGGCTAGAGGCATCACACTTTCTGATTTCAAACTGTGTTACAGAGCTACAGTGATCAGAACAGTGTGGTACTGGCATAAAACAGACACACAGGTCAATGGAACAGAGAGCCTAGAAATGAGCCCATGCATATATACAGTTGATTCATTTATGTCAAAGGAGCCAAGAATATATGACGGGGAAAGGACAATCTGTACAATAAATGATGTTGGGAAAACTGCACAGCCACATGTGAAAGAAGGAAGCTGGACCCCTATCTCACATCACACCCAGAAATAACTCAAAATGGATTGAAGACTTGGAGGTAGACCTGAAGCCATAACACTCCTGGAAGAAAACACAGGTGGTGAGCTCCTTGACATCGATTTTGGCAATGACTTCGGATTTGACACCAAAAACAGAGGTAACAAAAGCAAAAATAAATAAATATGACTACATCAAACTAAAAAGCTTCTGCACAATAAAGAGAACCATCAGCAAAATGATAAAGCAACCTACGCAGAGGGAGAAAATATTTGCAAACCACATATGTTGATAAAGGGTTAATATCCAACGTATATAAAAAACTCATACAACTCAATAGCAAAAAACAAAAACAAAACCAAAATGCACCAAAAACAAACAAAAACAAAAACCAGAAATAAATAAAACCCCAAACCCAATCTCATTAAAAAATGGGCAGAGGATCTGAATGTACATTTTTCTAAAAGAAGACACATAGATGGCCAACAGACACATGAAAACATGCTCAACATCCCTCCTCATCAGGGGAATGCAAATCAGAACCACAATGAGATACCACCCCACACCTTTCAGAATGGCTAGTAGCAAAAAGACAAGACACAACAGATGTTGGCAGGATGTAGAGAAAAGAGAACGTTTGTGCACTGGTGGTGGGAATGGAAATTGGGGCAGCCATCATGGAAGAAAGTACGGAGGCTCCTCAATGACATTGAAAACAGAACTACCATATGATCCAGCAGTTCTACTTCTGGGCATTTACCTAAAAGAAACAAAAGCACGAACTTGCAAAGGTACATGCATTCCTATGTTCACTGAAGCACTATTTACAACAACTAAGACATGGGAGCCAACTAAGTGTCCATTGAAGGATGAACACATAAAGAAAAAAATACAAACACACATATACAATGTGATATGTATATACACACACATATACAATGTGATGTGTATATACACATACACCTATATAATGTGATATATATATACACACACATATATGATGTGATATATATATATACACACATATACAATGTGATATGTATACACACACATAATGTGATATATATACACACACACATATATGATGTGATATATATATACACATATATAATGTGATATGTATACACACACACTCATATATAATGTGATATACATACACACTTATGTTATATATATACACACACATATAATGTGATATATATATACACATACACATATAATGTGATATATATGTATAACACAACATATAATGTGATATACATATATATACATACACACATATATAATGTAATATATATACACACATACACATAATTAATGTGATATATATACACACACATATAATGTGATATATATACACACACATATAATGTGATATATATATACACACACACACATAACGTATATATATAACACAATGTATCAACATGATATATATATACATACGCACACATATATAACATAATATATATCTATACACACATACATGTAATTAATGTGATATAATATATACACACACATATATAATGTGATATATATACACACATATGTGATATATATAACATACACACATATAATGTGATATATATATACATACACACAAATATATATTGAGATATATCTACACACACATACATAATGTGACACATATCTATACACACACATAATAATGTGATATACATATAACACATGCACATATATAATGCGAGATATATATATACACACACACGTAATGCGATATATACACACATATAATGCAATATATATACACACACACGTATTATGTGACATATATATACATGACACACATATGTAATGATATATATACACATACATATATAATGTGATATATATACACACACGTATATGTGATATATATATCACACACATATAATGTGATATATATACACACACATATAATGTGACATATGTATACACACACATATATAAGGTGATATATACATAACACACACATAACGTGATATGTATACACATATATATAATGTGATACATATACACACACATATAATGTGATATATATACACACACATGTGATATATGTATACACACATACATGTAGTGTGATATATATATACACACACATATAATGTGATATATGTATACACACATACATGTAGTGTGATATATATACACACACATATAATGTGATACATATACACACATATATAATGTGATATATATATATACACACACATACACATAGTGTGATATATATACACACACACATATAATGTGATATATATACATACACACAAATATATAATGTGATATAGATCTACACACACACATATATAATGCGATACACACACACACACACACACACACATACACACACACACACACAATGCAGTATTATTCAGCCGTAATAAAGAAGGAAATCCTCCCAGTGTGGCAACACGGATGGGCCTTGAGGGCATCACACTAAGTGAAATAAGACAGAGAAAGACGACCTCACTTAGATGTGGTATCTGAAACAAAACACTGAACTCACAGACACAGAGAGTGGACCGGTGGCCGCCAGAGGTGGGGGTGAGGGATGGTGAAAGGGGTCAAAAGGTGCCAACTGCCAGTTAGGAGAGATAAATAAGTCCTGGGGATGTAACGCACGGCACGATGACTATAGTTAACAATACCGTGTTGTACATTTGAGGGTTGTTACCGAGTAGATCTTGCAAGTTATCATCTATCATCCTAAGAAAAACTATTTGTAGCTATGAGGGGACAGATGATAAGCAGGTGTGCTGTGGTGATCATTCCGGGAACAAGCACCGAATGCTGCACACCTGAAACCAATACAACGTTACATGCCAACTGTATCTCAAATAAAAAAAAAAAAAATCTCAGACGCTTGAATCGCTCCTTGCGTTACCTGGTGTGGTGCGATCCACCCAGAGAGACCTTCTCCCACCGGTAGCCTCCCCGCTTGTTACAGAGATCCTTGGTGGAGGCGTTTTCCAACGTGCGCGGCGGGCTGCTGTCCCCGGGCACTCCCGGCAACCCCACCGCGTGTGGGCGTGGGGCCTGCTGCACCACCGCCTTCCAGTTGGAGCGCACGGGTCCAAGTTCCACACTGGGGACCAAGGGGTGGAATGCGTTAATTACGCACTAATTAGGCACCGACTCTCTTACCTTGTCGGGGATGCTGTCCCTGTCCAGGTTGATCAGTTTTTTTAGGAAACCGGTTTGAGAAAGAAGCAACTTCGCCGAGGCCCAGTTGGGTTTCTTCTGCAGAAGAATGCACACAGCGTTCATGACCATCAGCACGAGGGAGGGAGGCCGCGTGTACACCCTGCAGCGGGCGGGAAACCACGAGGTCAGTACGCACAGATGCTGAACAGGCACGGTCATGCGATTTCACCCTCGGGGATCTTTAAACAGGGGGGCCTGTTGAATGTGGGTATCTTTGCCTTAGGAAGACGAAATGATAAAACCTGAACATGCAGAACAGTGAGGGAGAGGGCAGTTCTTGTCACTATGAACGCACTCAGGGCACAGTTCCTTAGAGTCGGAGCCCTCCCGTTCCGTCCCAGCGTCGATGTGCTAGTGACGACGTGATGAGACCAGCACACCCCTCCCCTCAAATGCGTCGTCTGACTTCTCTTCATCCTGATCTCGGGCTCCTATCGTAAAGTCACGGAAACAACACCGTGTGGGAGGGGGCGTCTCTCAGGTGGTTAATAATGTGATTACCGGAACACCGGAGGCCGCCTCTCGCTGTGTCCTAGTCCGAGTAGCGGGAAGGCGACACTCTGGAGAGCCAGGGGTCAGGATAACAGTCACAAGAAGCGAGTTTCGCTGAAAAGCCACCAGGTGTGGTTGCTATGCGACAACCTTTGGGACTCGGGAACAAAAGGGCAGGTCCCCCCGTGGTAATGGGTCTCCCCCGCACGACGCCATACACACTTCCCAAAAGAAGGCAGGCAACGAAGCCAGCTTTACGAGTGCAACACTGTCTACAGGGGTCACCGGGAAGGCCGCCCCGCCTTAAATTTCATCATTAGAGATTCATTCATTTAGATTCACCTTTGTTCTTTTACAGTCTCCTTTTAAAATGCAGATATTTTTCAGGACCGACTAAGCCATTAACACTGTGTTTAGAACTAATTTATCAGATTGCTTTTCTGGGATTCTCAGTATGGCTTTTTTGAAATAAGGAGAATGATCATAACAGAGGAACTAGCGAGAGAGAGACAAGGTCCGCAGAGGAGAAATGAGAGGTCCAAAAACAAGCTTTTCCTCAGTTTTGCCTGTGTTTGGCTCTTTTTTATTTTTTTAAGTTTATTTATTTATTTTGAGAGAGAGAGACAGCGAGTGAGCATGAGCAGAAAGGGGCCAAGAGAGAGGGAGAGAGAATCCTGAGGAGGCTCTGTGTTGACTGATGCAGGGATTGAACTCACGAACCGCGAGATCACGACCTGAGCTGAAATCAAGAGTCGGTCACTCAGCCCAGGAGTCCCTGCCTCCTTTTAAAGCGAACATCACAGGAATGTAGTCAAATTGAGATGAAATGTATTATCTCTAAAATTTTAATGTAAATTAAAGGGAAAACAGATTGACTTGACTACAGTTCTGCCTACATGTCACCTTCCGGAAACAAATGCCCGATTCCAAGTGAGACCTACTGACACTGACAATCTGCTTTAGAGGCTCACTACTGCTCCAATCTGCACCTTCTCCTATCTCCCTGCTAGCGGTGACGTTGCTAGCTGGCAAAGGACCGTGCTGTCACCGGGCCGTTGTTTTTGCACTCAGATGCTGGGAACGGCCGTGAGGAAGGAGAACGGACTGGACTGGTCTCCGCTGGGCGTCTCTGCTGCACTTCCTAAGAGCAGCAACAATGATCGTGTCACAAGGCTCCCCCGTTATCTGGCACTGGGGTCGAAGACACGCGCCTTAGCAACATCACAAGGGAGAATCCTAGACAGACAAACACCCAGCCCCCGTCCCCCGCAAGACACAAGGAAGGAACCCCGGGGGAGGGAGTTTGTCTGCGCTACTGTGGGTGGGGGGGGGCCGCTGGGTCCAAGGACACCTGTCAGCATTGAAGTGGCTTAGCACCTGCCTCAAGCCAGACTCCATTGTGAGCACTTCACACGTTTCTACTGTGCAACCTGTGATCCCCGCTGCACAAGAGGGAAACCGAGGCCCAGAGAGGCCCTGCAGGTAGAAGGCGGCAAAGCCAGGGTCCCAACCCAGGAGGCCTGGCACTGGAGCCGTGGGCTCAGCCCCCTTCACACCCTGCGCTCAGGAGCCAACTGGAAATCGAGCTGGGCTCTCCTGGGAATCTGCCGGAGAAAAGCCAAGGGAACAGGACTTCTGGGACACAGTCGGGAGGTACAGGGCGGGTGACGCTGGAGAGGCCCGGGCGCGGCTCCCGTCCCATGCCGACTCCAGCCACCCCCTCGCGCTCACAGGCCGCAGCCATTGTGGCGTCAGCAGCTCCTGAAACCCAGGAAGCACATTTGTGCTTTTGGACTTTGGCGCTTTCCATCTCCCCCGCTTAGAACATTCCTCCTGCAGACACCTGTCCGGTTCACGTACAAACCTCACGAGGTCCTCCGCTTCCCGGCCGCCTCGTCGGACACTGAGAACGTCTGCGGGATGACCGTGTGAGGACGCATTCCCGTGAGTGAGGCCAGAAAGGACAACGATCAAAAACGTCTTCTGTTCCTGTCGTCTGTCTCTGCGTCCGACTGTCGCTAAGGGACCAGCCTCCCAGCCCGTGGCGCACACTGTCCTCCCCATAGAGTCACGCTGATTAAAGAGTGCTTCTTTGTCGTCTTCTCTTCTTGTCCCCAGAGTTCATAATGTAAATATCATGGTGGATTTGCTCACTCCTGCATCTTTAATTGAAATACTACTTTTCCTGGGGCGCCTGGGGGGCTCAGGCGGTTGAGTGTCCAACTTTGGCTCAGGTCATGATCTTGCGGTTCATGGGTTCAAGCCCCGCGTGGGCTCTGTGCTGACGGCTCAGAGCCCGGAGCCTGCTTCAGATTCTGTGTCTCCCTCTCTCTCTCTGACCCTCCCCTGCTCACATGTGTGCTCTCTCTCTCAAAAATAAATAAACATGAAAAAAAGTTTTGCAATACATGTCCTACTTTTCTATAAATAATAGAAAACGGAACACATCCGAGAGGTGATGGCAAAGTCTCGCCTGCTGGGCTGCGGAGCTCCAGTCTGGAGTGTCTCACCCAAAGATCCGAACTAGACACACAGGTCAGGTTCTGGACCTCAGAGCATCTCATTTCTCCTGGTGTGTTCCTACGCATTGGTCCTTCCTGGCTTCCCGCGCAGTAGGCGCCTGGGCTCGGGCACAGGGTGGTGGGTCCCGGGGGGGCTGCAGCACCAGGCGCGTGTCCCTGCGTCCCTGCAGCCCGTGGGCACAGGCAGCGGCCCCACAACCGCTGTCACCCCACCTGTGGGACCCCACATCATCCCGCGTCAGGGGTTTCCGGAACCGCAACGGCTTCCGCCTGCACACCTGGGCACACGGTGCTGCGCCGGTCCCGGGGGCACATCTCACGTTCTGAGACTGGCGTTTGGTTCACAGCCAGAAGCCCATCACGCAGTTTACCTGGCAGTCAGTTTTCTTTCTTGAGTCTCCAAAAAATGCCAACGCGCCTGCCTCTGATGGCACCAGACACTGAGAAGGTGCGGCAGGTGACGCACAGAGCGAAGAACTTAAAGTAGCCAAGACGGGCAAAAGGGACTCAATCTGAAAATGTCTGAATACAGACTCCTAACTTTACCACGCGTTTATGCTTCAGTTTGAGCTTTTCCAACTCAGAACAAACGAGGTGCGTTACCTTAGCTCGGTGATGTCGGCTTTATCCAGGGTGCTCAGGGCCACGGTGGCCTTGTCCAGAGCTGGCAGCACACTCCTTATCTCTCTGGCGGTTCTCTGCAATAGACAGAAGCCCCCGAGGCCGTGTGAACGCACAGGGTTTATACACCGTGCACGGTCACCTCTCTGTATAATTCCGTTATTGCAAAAGCCGTCTCAAGTCAGAACGACTTCCAGATACTTCTGCCGTCCCCCGCCCCAGCTTTCCTGGTCGTGTGACACTGCGGTGCTGGGGCCAGGGGTCCTGTTGTAAGATACATTCGTACGACAGAGCTCAGTGGGTAGTGGCAGAGAAACGAGGCTGGCGACATCTGCATCCAGAACCCGGGTTTTCTGTGGAAAGTCCTTCTGTTGATCAGGAAGTGGGGGGCCAGGTTCTCACAGACACCTACTCAAAGCGGAAGTTCACGCCTTCGCAACGACTCCAGATAATGCAGGGCACACTATTCCAAACCTGCCTGCCATTCGTGTTCCGCTTTTCTGGAAGGGAGGCTACGCAACAAGAATTCATCAGAATTTCTAAGTTTTGGGGAATAGTGACTGCATTTAAAAAATTGTTTTGGGGTATCTCAATGAACCGTGAAAAATTACAGTTCCTCACACAGATATATGTGAAAAGTGCCTTACTTTATAATTAAAAATTTTTATTTACAAATAAATATTGAAGGCAAAAATTCATGGACCATAACACGAAAGGGATTAAGTGTTAAAATCCATACAGATTATGTGGAGAGAGGAGGAAATGCGACGACAATTTTCAGGTCATACCAAACGCTATAATTTAGTAAGAGGAAAAAATACATTTAGGACAGAGGTAACGATCTGCCTCTTGTCTGCTTAATAATCCAATTCATAAAGAAGAATGTGTCATGTGATCACACTGGAAAAATTCAAGGTTCTGGCTGAGAGTGCAAGAAATACTGACATGAGTGAAAACACGAATGTCAGAAAACAACTGAAGACGCTGGTGGAAAATTGGTAATGAATGCTTTCCATTCACTCGACATCTAAAATTATTCACCGCCCAAGAAACCTTGAAATGCCGGTTTGCCTACAGCCATCGAGAGTGACGTTAAAAATATTCATGGTGTTATCAGTGACATTATGAAATTGAAGGAAAACGCCTTAAACCAGCAAAAACGAAAACCGCACCTTTGTGAACTGCGCTGGCCACCCCATGGGAACGATAGCCCCGATTTTCACACGAGGACACGTTCAGCCCGCAGTGGGAAAATGCAGGGGGAGGCGTTACCGGGCATCTAAGGCGGATAATCAACAAACATTACCATGTTATTTTTCTAGATTTTGTGACGTTTGTAGTAACTGTCAGCTTTTAAAAATTTGTATTTCATTTGATGTTTTACTTATCTAAATAAATACTTTTATGTTTAATTGTGAACTAGTAATTTTAGATTCTAAAAAATATGCCCCCAAAGCCGTGTGAGCTTCAGGCCCCGCACAACCTGGACTTGTCCCTGAAGCCACACCCTGTTCTGGGGGCACAAACAGGAACTGCAGAACAAAACATGAACTCTTCTGTATCCATTTTCTTTCGGCCGGAAGCTAAAGACTGAAATCAGGCCCAGCAGGGCCCGCGGGCCGCCCACGGTGGACTCTGGCGACCCGAGGGAGGGGAGAGGCCCACCGCTGGGAGGGCTGGCAGGGGGTGGCCCACCATTTAGGACGTGTGCTTGTGTGCATACAAGGAAGGGCATTTGCTCTTACGCCATCGAGTGTGAAGTAAGCCAGCCCTCAAAACGAACAGGGTCCTAGAAGGCTCCGGAGAGGAGCGGGGGCTTGGGGACGTGAACCCGGAGGCAGGAGGGGGCAGAGAGGGGGCGGCCGCTCCCTGCTTGTCCCGGCCATGAGCTGCCCCCACTCTCCTCAGCCATGGCCTAACGTGAACACGACGCTGATCGAATCGGGCCCGACGCGAAGCCAGCCGTCACGTCTGTAAGTCCCCTCGGGGACCGTCTGAGGTGTGTGTCCGCATCCACTCTGCTCACGCGAACCCGCCCGTGGGGGCTGACTGTGCTGTGACGTCTGCTAGCGATAGGAGCTCGTGCGTGTCATTTACAAATAAGTCACTGCACACAGATCGCGGGGACCGGCTTACGTGTAGCTTTTGGACGGATGGAGTTGATGGAGGAGAAACCGTCGCCCGTGGAAGACGCGAGAGGCTCACCCTTCATGCCCTCCGAGCGGGTGCGCCCGAGCAGCCCCGGGGGGCAGCTGGCCGACAGCTGCACCGAGCGGATTCCTGCCGGCCTCCCACCGGAGGGCTCGGAGGGCTCGGCCGGTGAAACGGGGTTAAGACCGGTTACGCGTGTAACTGGTGACAACGGGTGCCCGGGGCGGCTCGGTCCCCGCAGGCGCCCCTCTCGCAGGCCACGTGTGTCTGTGAGGTGGCTCAGGGGACTTCCCGCTGTGGTGACCCCGAGAGCCGGGCTGTCTCTGTCTCTGCCTGGGGAGGCAGCTTTCTGGGGGACAGGGATCCTGCATCTCTGTGCTCCCAGTTCCGTCTACAATAAATCCTTGTGGGGCTAAGAATTAAAAGCATCCATACTTGAGCACGATAGATTTAACAGCAGTCAACCCACCTTCACATTTTGGGGTTGGGGGATAATTTTGCAAACCTCCAGGTGATTGTCATGGATTGTATTTTAGTCCTACCTGAGCACATTCTTCCACAATTCTGACTTCTTCTGCCATAATTTCTTCATCTTGTTGAACCAGCATCTGAACTTTCTCAACGACTTGTGAATCTCTCCACAGTCTTTCCATCAGGGCTTCCTTTTCCTAATGAAACACACAGTTCTTTGGAAGATGAATTTTCAGAGACACGGCATCTCTTTTTTGAAGAGAAATTCGTTTAAAGAAAAATCCACAGCTCATTTAATTACTATAAAATGTATCAAAATCAGCCTAAATATATTTGGTTAACAGACGAAACCAGAGAGGATGACATAGCCGAGATCATTCTCTTGCAATGCACGTCAAGAGTGGTAAGTATGATTTGTATTTTAATTTACTATTATTATTGTTACTATTTATTTTCTATTTTTTAAAGTAGACTTCACACCCAGCATGGAGCCCAATGATGGGCCTTGAACTCATGACCCTGAGATCGAGACCGGAGTTGAGATCACGAGTCCGATGCTTAGGGTCACCTGGGGGGCTCAGTCAGTTAAGCATCCGACGTCGACTCAGGTCATGATCTCACGCTTCGTGAGTTCAAGCCCCGTGTCGGGCTCTGTGCTGACGGCTCAGAGCCTGGAACCTGCTTTGGATTCTGTGTCTCCCCTCTCTCTACCCCTCCTCCACTTACACTCTGTCTCGCTCTCTCTCAGACACACACACAAAAAAAGTCAGATACTTAACCGACTGAGCCATCCAGGCAGTGTGAGAAGCATGATTTTTAGAGCACCCTACAGGTTGCAAATTACTACAGCATAGTTTGGGTTGATTTAACTAAGAATGACAGAATTTTCCTGTGTGAGCTTTTATAATTAGTTATATGCCTGCTATCACACTTAGTTAGAAAATACAACGATGTTACTATTTTGTTATCATTGTTATCGTTTTGCTCATTTTACGGTAAGAAAGTTGAGCCCAAGAGGCCACGCAGCCACGTGCTAACACAGCGGGGCTCTGATCCGTCTCTGCCAAGTGCGAGGGCTCGGCTTCCCAGCCTGTCGTACTCAACTATAAAGTATTCAAAAGAGGTTTCACACCAGACGCACCTTTGTTTTTTGTTCTATCTGAGGGCCAAGAATCAAGAGCTCCTCCTGTGTTTCTGTAACCAGAGCGCTGGCTTCCAGGATCTTGGACAGGCCCATGTGCAAACGACTCCTGCGGGGAAGAGAGGGTTCAGAAGGTGTGAGACACGATGAGACGTTAGCGAAGCAGGACCTTCTGTGCCCACGTGCCGTCATTGTGAAGGTGCCGACTCCCTGCGGCAGCCTCCGAACGCCTTACCTCTTGGGCTTTTGTCTTTCCCCCTTGGGAAGGTAGATTCCGGCTCGTTCTTTTGTATTTGTGTCTCTTTTTTCTTTTACAAATAAAAGCACCAATTTATTTATTTATTAAATAATTTGTTTTAAATGTTTATTTATTTTTGAGAGAGAGAGAGAGAGAGAGAGAGAGAGAGAGAGAGAGAAACAGAGCACGAACAGGGGAGGGGCAGAGAGAGAGAGGGAGACACAGAATCCAAAGCAGGCTCCAGGCTCCGAGCTGTCAGCACAGAGCCCGACGCAGGGCTTGAACTCACAAATGGTGAGATCATGTCCTGAGCCGAAGTCAGACACTTAACCGACTGAGCCCCCCAGGTGCCCCTAAAAGCACCAATTTAAAAAAGACACGCGTTTCTGATTTGGCCTCAAAGTCTTACCTCTTTGCTTCCATTTCCTTCTGGCGTGACCTCAAAATGTGAGCAAATGTATCCATGAATCGCAAGTAGCTGTTGGGAGTGACGTAATTACGCCGTCCGGTTTTCTGAAAGTATTTTGTGTTCAAGTCTTTTATGCTTTTGTGGATTTGGACACACGTCGAGGCGAGTTTTTCCTTTAAGTGCTGCAAAATAATAATTTTCAAGAATTTATGCATCAAGAAAGGGGAAATTGAACATGCTGAGTAACTTGAAAGAGTATCATTCTGGGGTGCGGGGCAGTTGATAAAGAGCCTGGGTGAAGGGGACCAAGAAAATAGAAGTTTTAGGGGTTTGGATGGTGTCAGGAGTGGACAAGGCGACAATATGGCCAGTGACTAATGACTCATTCCTCCGGGCCTGACCCGCATTTCTGCTACAGCCATCCAAGGGTTTACGGAGCCGTCATCATGGCCAAGGTTCACGGTGACTGACTGACTGACTGATCAACATCTCCTATCGTCCTTTCCTAAAGTGGGTTATCAAATGCACAAGACTCAATTTCACTTCCTTGAGTGAAGTAAAGCTGTGACAATGTAAGGCCTCAAAGGATATACTGATATGCTGGGTGGGAAAACCAGAGGAGAAAGAACTCCCGGGGGTAAGTTTCAGGGAGAATTCTGTCTGAGACACAAGCTGGCGCCCACCCCAGCCCACGGGGGTCTAGCCGTTCCCTGGCCAGCTTCCCCCCAGCCGGCTCTGCACAGACTCTCCCCCCAGCCTTTCACTCCTTGGACGCTTGGCTAGTAAGGCCGCAAGCCCTTTTCTGGGTGCCGCACCGAGTTTTGGGGTGTATGCTTTTACAGCTTCCTTTGTTATCAAAGGTTGGGTAAAGAGCCTTCCTTACTGCGGCTCATGAACTCTGAGCGAATGTGGTTTGCTGCACACAAGCCAGAGGCGTTTCCGGGGAACACACAGAAGGCTGCGGCCACCTCACCACGGCATCTGGCACATCTTCTCCCGGTCAAGGACACCTGCTGGTCTCCTCGGGGCACAGCAGCGGGGAGACCCAGGCAGGGAGGAGTCTGGGCGTCTTTGAAATCGGATGGACCAGGGGGCAAAAGACACGGGAGCTGATAGAGTCAAGACAACCGCGTGACGTATTTCAAATTTTTGTCCACCTAGGATTCACCGCTATTCCGGACATAATTCTGCCAGACGCCGTTAACAGCCTGGAACTTCCCTCGTGTCAGGTCTTGAAAGGAGGCTGTGCTTACCTCCCTGCTGCCCAAGTCCACCTTCTCTCTTAGGAAAGAATCGGCCACAGCGAGGAGGGCATCCTCTGGCCACTCCCCGTACCAGTCCACCGTGCAGGCGGTGACCACGGAAGGGCGCAGTCGGCACTGCTGGCGGAAGCTGGGTCCTGTGGGACTCACGGTCACAAAGACGTGAAGATTTTTATGTATTCTCTGCAAGTTAATAAAAACACAAGGCGTTAACGTGGAAGCCACTGCTTTGGAAAAAACACCGCGATGGAAGTTCCATTGGGAACTCGTTTCCGTTCTTTACCCAATGGGCGGAGAGGAGACCGAGGGCCTCCCAGAGCAGGGAGCTCTTGTGGGGGAAGCAGCCGGGTGGTGCTGGAGGTGGGGGGGCCCGGAGCGCCCCTTGTACAAGTCGGACCCTGGGGGGTGTGGCGCTCAAGTTCTGCTCCACAGGGACCTCAGGTCAGATGCGGCGCGGTGGGGGGGGGGGGGGTGGGGTCTGCTGCCCTCTTTCTTTGGGGTGCGGGCATTCGGGACGCTCAGAAAGTCAAGGGGACAAGTGGGCAGATGATGGAACGCTGAAAGGCACAGAGAGAACAGACAGGGGGGCATCCCTCAACTCCCACAGCAGAAGGATCGGAGCCCCCACGCTCCTGTAGGTCTTTGGCAGAGCGCTAGTTTCCGTGAAATCTCCCTGCCTCTTCCCTCCAGAAGGCCTTGCGGTGCGGCTGCTTTTCCTGGCCTCTTGCCAGGCCGGCGTGCGCACAGAGTCTCCCTCGTTTCCGGGTGTCACTTTAAAGGAACCCACGTTACCGAAAGCAGCTGCGGTCAATCAGCGTCCAACGCACAGTCCCGTGTGTACAAAGCGATGGTGTGCTTGCGTGTGAAGGAACCTATGTGCCCCAGAAGCGTGCTAAGGCTGGAAGGGTGATGTGCGGAAGATTCTTTCTCTGCCTTTTCGGCTTTCAACAACGTAGAAAAGCAAATTAAACCACTCGGCGCAAAATGCATACAACACAGAAATGTTTAAATCAAAAACGAAATGACCTCTCTTTGCTTTACTCATCCCCAAATTCCTACTTGAGGACAGTCAGTGTTCACAGTTTAAAGTATGCCTTTGCTGTTATGATTATCGGAAGACACTTCAAATCATTTTTGGAAGTGGAATTGTGGCATGAAATACACATGTAAGTAATTAAATAAGCAATTGCAACTGATTTCTAACTGGGATTCTTGGTCTGCTTTTTTCACTTCTGGCGTGCGCTATTCTCTACACTCCAAATGAGAATTTCTTTGCTGTTCTTATTGATCATAATCTATATACACCGATTTGGTAACAAGGCACTGGAGTGCCACCAGGGATCAGAAAAATTGCTCTTTCTGCCATAGCATTTAAAAAATATAACTCGGGGCACCTGGGTGGCTCAGTCGGTTAAGAGTCTGACTCCTGACTTTGGCTCAGGTCATGATCTCACGGTTTGGGAGTCTGAGCTCACGTTGGGCTCTTTGCTGACAGCACAGAGAATGCTTGGAATTCCTCTCTCTCACTGCCCCTCCTCCGCTCGCACTTGCTCCCTCTCAAAAAATGAAATCAATAAAATAAAAGTACAACTCAATGCAAACGTCCACTCCTATGACATCGTCTCTTAATTGTGGGTCCCGTTCCTGGAATTCTCTACATCCTCTCCTTGCGCCGGATCACCAACTGTCCACTGAGAATGGAAGACGGCCCAGCTCAATTTTCGGATGACTCCATCATAGACAGAAACGGATCCCAGAAACAAGTCGGCCTGTGGCCCTTCCCCTGTGAACACCTGGTCTGGGCAGTCACGTCTGTCTCCACTGAGCCGCTGGCCAGTCATCGCGCCTTTAAGACACACGAAGCTTAGCTTGATGCAGAGCCTGCAGAGCCTGATGCAGGGCTCGAACCCACGAACCGTGAGATCATGACCTGCGCTGAGATCCAGAGTCAGAGGCTGAGCCGACTGAGCCCCCCAGGCATCCCCTCATTCTCTCATCATTGCCTCTCACCGTTACCATTTTCTTTAGCCCCTGGTCACTGGGCAGGCCCAGATCCTTGCGAATCTTGGCTTTCCCTAAGAGTGTGATGTGTGTGTGTCTATGTGTGGGGATGGTTTGAGTGGACCCATTAGTTATAGCTTTGAAAACTCATTTATCCCCTCCTGAGAGGATTAAAAAAAAGAAAAAAGCAAGGCTCATTTAAAGACCTAAAAACAATTATCCAACTTGGAAACCACGTACAGAATTATACACGTGTCTACTTTTAATGTAAGTGGTAATTTGCTGAAGTGAACCCACAAGAGCGCACCTTCCGGAAGAGTGCGAGTAAAGACTGCCTGTCGTCAACAGAACCAGACGGCTCAGCAAAGGATCGGATCTGTAGCGTGATGGAGCCCAGCTCGTCATCTTCAAACAAGTCAAGGGTTTTCTGCGAGTTGAGAACGCGGTCCAAATCTTCCAAAAATGACTCCTTAGGTGAAACGGATATTCAATCAAGAGTGATTCCATTCTTAACACACCAAACTGAGACGGCCAAAGTATTTAAGGACAATTCAGGTTAATTTTTTTTTTTTTGAAAGCTAAACTTCTCTTAAACCCATCCAATGTCTTTTTTGTCTGAGTAAAAATAAGCGTCGTCCCTCCGTTCATTCGCTGGAACAGGAGAGAGACGTGTGCGGTACTGAGGGCATGCAAACGCCCGTGCCACTGGGACCAGACTCATGGCAGGGGTGGGGGGTGGGGGGGCGGTACGAGCGGCGCGGGGACCTGGCTCCAGACGGCTTATGGAGACCACCACACACGCACGGGCTACAAGCAACACGGCGGCAGGGTTCCAGATCCAGTGAGAGAGGGGCCAGGGGACAAAGGGCAGTGAAAGAAACTCTACGAGAGGAGTTCTTACTGAAAAGTACGAGCATTTTCATTTTAAGAATAAATCCAAGCTGTATTTAAAAAACATGCATTTCTACCATCCTCAGGCTCCTCAGGCTCCTGGTGTTTCAGCCCCGGCGGGGGTGGGAGAGGGCAGCGAGCTGGCGGGCAGGGGCCAGCAGGGCCAGGATTGCTGACACGGGGCTACCGGATTTCCTGCCGCTCCCGGGACTCAGCTTATGAAACACACCGATTTCCCACTGGTAGTTTTAGCTACTCTGTGGTGTCGCGGCCTCGGCATCTATTCTGTCTCACCGAGCGGCCTGCGGGGACCCTGATGGTACGCCAGCCGCTCACGCGGTAGCCGGCAGAGTGACAAGCAGGGACGAGCTCCTGGTAGGTCTTCCCCGCCACCCGGGGTCCCCGTACCCAGTGCACCCCTTAAATAGGACCCCCGTGGGGGCACACTGAAACACTGCTCTTTAGATCTGAGCGGACAGATCTGGCCCCGACCCGGGAACCCCGAGTCACTCCACTCACAGACCCCGATGAAGGCACACGCCCCGGGTCCTGCCTCTCTGCCCGCACCCCACCTTGACCTCCCCGCACGGTCCCTCGAGGCAGGCTGTGTGCTTCTTGCAGGACCTGTGAGTAAGAAACTTCTCTATTTCAGTGTCTCTTGTCGTCTTCTGCAGGACTGTGGCTCACCATCCCCCTGTGCTCCACTTAACAAATGTTAATTTAACAGGGTCACGACACTATTTTGGGGGTTCACATGGAAAGCAATGATGCGGCCAGGAGAAACCTGGAGAGTGTGGAGACGAGATCCAAGGACCTTGAAGTCCTGGGTAAGATGGGTCCATCTCAGCTTTGACCTGATAGTGGTTTTCTGAAAAATGATTTCTTAAATTAAACAGCAGGCCCCTGGCACGAGACAGGACATCCTCTGAAATCCAGAAGTGCCTGCAAGAAACCTCAAGCAGAGGAAGAGGGTGGGGTATCTAGAGGGAGGGGTGCCTAGGTGGCTCAGCTGGTTGATCACCAACTCTTGGTTTTGGCTCAGGTCATGATCTCACGGATCATGTGTTCGAGCCCCACTTTAGGCTCTGTGCTGACCACGTGGAGCCTGCTTGGGATTCTCTTTCTCTCTGCCCCTCCCCCACTCACCCTGTCTCAAAAAACAAAAAGAAAACTTAAAAAAAATCAGTAAGTTTGGGAGAGGGCAGACATATGATTAAGGCAGAAAATTGGACACTATGGAGAACAGCAGATACAACATAGCACTCACTCGGATTTACCCTCAAAATACCACATGAAGGAAAAACAAAACTCTAGGGACAGAGGCTCAGGATTAGAGAAGAAACAAGAGGAAAGTGGAACAACACTCATAAGTGTATGAGTCTGGATCATACATCATAAACAATGTTGCCTTTAAATGTCGCCACAAAGAAGTAAGTACAACCTGAGCGGGATTCTGCAATTCGTGGAGGCCGTGGAAAGGCATGGTTTACACCAAGCAACAGATTAAAAAAGTAGCTGGGTGATTAGCATTTTTTTGTTTGTTTGTTTTGCTTATCTGTAAACAAAGCATCTCCTGCAAGGAAAGTGCTAAATTCGACGGTAAAGTTCGCACAGGACGCCGTGCCCAAGAGTAGACAGCGGATTCAGATGATAGCGTTTTTTGTTTTGTGTCTTTGTGTTTTTTTTTTTTCCAAAACCCAGACTAGAAAACAAGTTCAGCTACGCAGACAAATTACTCGCAACGAAAATTATATTTCGTTGATTACAACGAACATTATAAAGACGGAAAATGCTTCTGTTGTAGGGCTCATGCAAAAAACTACGTGCAGTGTGGGCTCCCAACCAGGGCCTCTGTGGGCTGTGCATGGGGAAGGGCAGAATCATGAACAACACAGCAGGCGCCGGCCAGATTTTCTTTCCGGATATTGAATGGGCGGGGGAGCCACTTACACAGCAAACGTCAGCAAATAACAAAGATCAAAAGTACTTACCTGCTTTAGGTTTATGTTAGCAACTATCAAAGCGGTGGGGCTCCCTTCTAATCCTGCTTGGATAACCCCCCTTTTGAGGGCTTCTTTGAACTCCGCGTGGGCCTGACTGTGAGCTGAGGGCACGGGGGACAGCTTGCACTCCATCAGGTGACACGCCAGGGTCGCACACGCTTCCTTCCCACACCCGTCTACTCCAATCTTTGGAAGAAGAACAATCCAACATGAGATTCCTGTGGACGCCCTGGGAATCTTTCAATCTTTCACTGTTTCCCAAGTCTGTGCACCAGAAATTCACACAGTGAAAGTACCTATTTTTATAACCTTTCTGGGAAACACATTAAACATAGCTAGAGCATTGATCAGAGTTCTGTAAGGTGTTCATACACATTCAGTATTCTCTTCTTTGCTCTTTATGGTCTCTTGAAATGTATGAGACGCCTTCACTGTAAAGATAACCCCATCTGGAAAAATGGCATTGACAGGTTTACAAAATCATCGTTATGTTATTGCCAATATTTGCTTTCTCATTTATAAGAATTGAAGTAGGTCTTTTATTCTGAGTAGTAAAAACTTAAGTGCTCTTTGGTAATCATGACAAAGTATTACCTTTATTACCAAAGTATCAGCTCTACTGGGGTATAATTTACAGACCACCGGCTTTCACACGTACCATTTGATAATTTTTAGTAAAATCACAGAGTTATGCAACTGTTACCACAGTCCATTTTTTTTTAAAAAAGAAGCTTATTGATTTATTTTGAGAGAAGGTGACAGCCACAGCATGAGCAGGGGAGAGGCAGGGAGAGAGGAAGACAGAGAATCCCAAGCAGGCTCCAGGCTCCATGCTGTCAGCGCAAAGCCCAACGCGGGGACCCGAACCCATGAACCATGAGATCATGACCTAAGCTGAAATTAAGAGTCGTATGCTTAACCGACTGAGCCCTCCAGGCGCCCCTACCACAGTCCATGTTTAGAAAGATACCCCAAGGCCTGTCTACAGCGTTCATCCTGGCATCAGTCCCAGGCAGCCATTAACATGCTCCTGTCTCTACAGATTCGCAGTGTTTGGATGTTTCCTACAAACTGAATCATAAACATGAAGCCTTTTGCACATCACTCACCAGGATGGTTTGTGGTTCCTGTGTGTTAGTAGTTTGCTCCTTTTTACTGCTACATAGTATCCTGTTGGATGGGATAGATCACGTTTTGTTTATGCATCATCTACTGATGGATGTTCCGAGAGTTTCCGTTTTGTGGCCGCTATAATAATGCTCCCGTGATCCTTTCTGTGCAAGTCGTTGAGAGAACATTTGTTTTACTTTCTTTTGCATAGATACGGAGGAACGGAACCACTCAGTCAAAGGGTAAATCTGGGTTCACTTCAGAAGAAGAAATGCTCAAACTGTTTTACATCAGCAATGTATCCGAGGTCCAGTTTATCCACATCCTGGTCAACACTGGCTACTGACCATCTTTTTGACGACAGTCATTCAAGTAGATGTGTGGTGACATCTCAGTGTGGTTTCAATTTGTGTTTCCCTGAGGATTAATGATGTTGACTATTTTTTTTGCATGTTTACTAGCATTCATGCATCTTCTCTAGTGAATTATCTAGTTAAATCTCTTGTGCATTAAAAAAAATAAGTTTTTTAAAAAAGTTTTAGGAGGGTTTTGATTTACAATAAAATTGCCAAGATACAAAAGATAATTGGCATATACCCGACATCCCGTTTCCCCTACGAACATCTAACTAGTAGGATGCATTTGTTACCACTAGTGAAACAACACTGATACATAATTATTAACTAGATCCATACATTATTTGGCATTCCTTCATTTCCCTTAATGTCCCCTTCTGGGTCAGGGTCCTATCAAGGACACCACATCACATTTAGTAGTTAAATCTCCATAGGTTCCTCTGGCCTATGACGGTTTCAGACTTTTTGTTTTTGTTTGTTTGGTTTTGATGACCTGGGCAATTTTGAAGAGTGCTGGTCAGGCGTCGTGGTTGGGACCTTCTTGGTGTTTTCCTTGTGACCACACTAGGGGTACGTGCTTTGGGGTGGGAAGACCACAGGGATGAAGTGCCACTTACCAACATGACTTATCACCGTCGATGCTGACCTTGGCCACCTAGATAATGTTGTGTGTGTCAGGCTTCTCCACTGTGAAGTTACTGCTTTTTCCCCTTTCCACTCTGCACCCTTTGGGAGAAAGTCACTGATAGCAGCTCACAGTCAAGGAGGGGGTAGTTCTGCTCCAACTCCTTGCGGGCAGATACCTGCGCACATTATTTAGAATTCTGTATGGGAGATGTGTCTCTTTCCCCCACTTGTTTATCCAATCATGTTTTTACATGCACGGACTCATGGAGGTTTATCATTTGAGTTATAACCAATGCTACTTTGTTTTGTTGTTTTGGGGTACGGCCACCGGGAGATCTCGAAGTTGGCTCCTTTTATCCCTCTGACATACTCCTGTCACTGAGAGTCTTTTGAAGCACTTCCTTTCTGGCCCTACAAGTCAAGACATTCCATGCTCATACGGTGCCTCTCATGCCAGCCCTCAGTAAGCCATTTTCCCCAGGAGCCCTGGCCCTTTTACTGAAGGATGGCATCAGAAACCAAGACCTGGGTGCTGGGTGTGCCTGTGTTCCTGCTGCACGTTTCCAGCTTCTCTCGGCTGATACCACGAGGACGCTTGGGGTTGTATGCCAATCTGTGTGCACGCACACTTTCCCGCAAGTACGTCTGTATGTAACCATCCACGTTAAATCCAATGTGAGTTCGACTGAGGTCTTCACCTCTCATCCGTCACTCCACGGATCACTGTCGCCTCTTCCGCTGGCTCGTCTGTAACTGCCTACTCCCGCAGTGAGAACACTGGCTGCCCCGCGTGCCATCCTTTACCTAACTGTTCAGCTGCGACACGTACGTACATACATATGGTGGCATCGGAAGTTAACCGTCCTCCCGTGGACACCACTCCATCAGCTCCAGATCAGTGCTCACGAGCGGTTTCCTCCACCTTTGGTCTTACAGACGCCACTCATTTCCAGAGTTCCTCAGGTCACTTCCTTTCCCCCCAACCCTCTTCGGGGAGCTCACTGCACCCTTGGCAACAGTCTGATCGTCCTGTCACGTTCTGCACTCCATCCCGGGACCCCCGACCGCCTAAATGACTTTTTGAAAGTTTTATACATCAAGGTTCTCTCTTTGGCCTGGACACACGCATGTTCCTGTTCCTCCTTACAGCATCGTACAGAATAGCCGCTCCTCTCCAGCAGCAGGTGTCTCACCCTCCCTTCTCTCTGCAAGCCCATGCCGACCCCCAATCATGTGTCATCTCTGTGGTTTTGCTGCTTCCAGAATGTCACAGGGCTGGAATCACACGGTGTGTAGGATTTCCAGACTGACTTTTTTCACTCAGCAACAAGCCTTTATGATTTGCCCATGTCTTTCTGTGGCTTGATTATTTCATTTCTTTGGGTCTTTGGATAATATTCCATTGTACTCCACTTCATCTCTTATTGAAGGACGTTTTGGTTGTGTCAGGTTTAGAATGAAGTCACTATCATCACGCATGGGAAGGTTTTTGTGAGGATATAAGTTTTCAAATATGTTGGGAGCGTGACTGCTAGACTATGGGGTGAGGCTACGTTTAGTTTTGTAAACACCCACCAACTTATCTTCCAAAGTGACTGTGCCATTTTGCCTTCCCACCAGCGAAAAAACAGAGTATGCTTGCTAGCAATTCCTACTATGTTTTTTTTTTTTTAATTTTTAATGTTTTATTAGAGAGACAGCGTGCGCAGAAGGGAGGGGCAGAGAAAGAGGGAGACACATAATTGGAAGCAGGCTCCAGGCTCTGAGCTGTCAGCACAGAGCCCGATGTGGGGCTTGAACTCACCAACTGTGAGATCATGACCTGAGATGAAGTCGGGCTCTTAACCGACTGAACCAAGTGTCCCTTGGACTATTTTTAATCAGTTGGTTCATCCTTAGGATTTTCTAGAAACAGGATCATGTGGATTGTGAATAAAGACAGTTTTACTTCTTATAAGTATCTGGATGCCTTTCCCCCCTTTTTCTTGTGTAACTGCATTGGCTGAAGCACCAGTGTATGGCTGAGTAGAAATTGTGAGAGAAAACATCCTTGCTTTGTTCCCGGTCTGAGGGAAAAACATTCTTTCACCAGTAAGCATGAGGCTAACTACAAGTTTTTCACAGATGCCTTTTATAGGTTGGTGAAGCTCCCTTCTGTTTCTTTTTGCTGAGACTTTAAAACGATCATAAATGGTGTTGGATTCTATCAAACACATTTTCTGCACAGACACTCCTGTGGTTTTTGCCCTGTGTCGTATTAATACGATTCACCGCAGCACCGCTTTCTGGATATTAATGCAGACACGCATTCCTGGGAGAAGTCTCACTTGGCCACCGTGGAGGATACCTAGCATGTTGCTGCATTTGGTTCACGGATACCTTGTTCAGGAAATTTACAACTCTATTCACAAGAGATCTTGGTCTGTAGTGTTCTCTTGCCTTGATGTGTCTGTCTGGTTTCGGTATCGGGCGATACTGGCCTCGTGGGTGGGTTGTGATCTGTTCCCTCGTCTATTCTCTGGAAGAGTTTGTAAGGATTCATTTAATTGTTTCTTAAATGTTGGACAGATTTTTCCAGGGAAGCCGTTTGGCCCTGGGCTTTTCTTCATGGGAAGTTTTCAAATTCCCAGTTAAATCTCGTTGTGGAGGTCTATTCAGACTTCTGGTTTCCTTAGTTCAATCATCTGTGTCTTCCCAGCAAGTGTCCGTTTCCTCTGGGCCATCTGATGTGCAGGCAGACAGGTGTTCACAATATTCTCGTAGAACCTTTATTTCTGTAATGTTGGTAGTTTTGTCCTCTCCTTAATTCCTGGTTTCAATAATTTTAATAATGGACTTTTCTTTCTCTTTTTTTTCTTGGTTTGTCAATTTTGTTGATCTTTTCAAAGAGCAAACCTTTGGTTTCATTGATATTCTCTATTGTGTTTCTGTTCTCTACTTTCTTCTCTCTTCTTTATTGGTTCTTCCTTTCTGCTCGCGCTGGGTTTTCTTTCCTTCCTGTAGTTTCCTAATGTGGAAGGTTGAGATTTTTCTTCTTTTTAAAAATATCGGCATTGATAGCTGTAAATCTCCCTCCAAGCACCGCTCTATGTATCTTGTGTTTTTATCCATCTCAAAGTATTTTCTAATATCTCTTGTGATTTCTGCTTTGACTCATAGGGATATGTTGTTAAAATTTCACATGCTTGTGAATATGTCAAGTTTCTTTCTGTTACTGATTTCTGCTTTAATTCTATTGTGGTTAGAGGACCTACTTCGAATGACTTCAATCCTTTTAACTTTGAGGCCTGTGTTAGAGCCTGGCGGGTGGTCTATGCTGGAGAATGTTCCAGTGAGCCTCAGAAGGACATGCATGTACTTTGCTGCTGCTAGATGGGGTCTTCTATACATGTCAAGTAGGTCAAGTTGTTTTACAATACCATTGATGTGTTTACGTCCTCGCTGATTTTTATCTAGCAGCTCTGCCAGTTATGGAGAGTGGGGACATCGAGTCTCCAATCATTGCTGTTGAAATGCTTGCTTCTCTCTCTTCACTGCTGTCTGTTTGGCGTCACATATTTTGGGCTTAGTCGTTAGGGGTGTGTGTGTGTGTGTGTGTTTATAACTGTTATGTCTTTCTGGTGATGGGTCCTTTTATCATTACAGCGTCTTTCTTTTCCCTCAGAACACTTTTTTTCCCTGAAAAGTGTATTTTGCCTGATATTAGTATCACCACTCCAACTCTCTTGTGGGAATTGTCGGCATGACTTATCTTTCTCCATCTTTCCACGTTCAACCATTCTGTGTCTTTGAATCTAAAGCGCAACTCTTGTTGATGGCGTTATGCTTGGAGTTTGTCCTTTTGCAAATGCTTCCTACAATCTCTGTCTTTTTATTGGAACATTTCATGGATTCGTATTTAGTGTTATGATTGATATGATTTGATTTACGTCTGCCATTTTGCTGTTTTTTACATGTCTTGTGTCTTTTTCCCTTTTGTTTCTCCTTAACTACCTTCTTTTAGCGTTAACTCAATATTTTCTAGAGTTCTATTTTAATTCATTTGTTGTTTTTTATAATGTATTTTTTGAGTTTTTTTTCATGGTTTGTCTAGGAATTATGCTGGATATTTTATCTACTCCAGATTAATACTGACTTAATTCCAGTAAAACATAGAAAGTTTGCTTCAGTATAACTCCATTTGCTCCTTCCTCTTTTGTGCTATTATTATAGATACTAAATATTTATGTCATAAGCCTAACAATTTTATAATTATTGTTTTATGTACCCGTCTTTGAAAGCAGTTAAAAGAAATATATATTTGTACTGTCTGTGTTAGGCAGGATAATACCCTTGCAACCCTCGCCCTCACCCCCAAATATGTCCCTAGAACCTGTGAATGGATTACCTTATATGGCAAAAAAGACATTGCCAGTGTGATTAAAATTAACGACCTTGAAATGGGGAGATGATTTCGGATAATCTGGTTGGACCCAGTCTAAATATACGAGTCCTTAAAAACAGGGAACCTTTCCTAGCTGTGGTCAGATGGAGAGACAGAGGGAGAGGTGTGACAGCTGAAGGGTCAGAAAGATGCCATGTTGCCGGTTTTGGAGACAGAAGCCATGAGCCAAGGTGGGAGGGCAGCCTCTGGAAGCTTATTTTCTGGCTCTGGTAGTTCAGCGACACAACCCAGCTGAACTAAGTAACGCTTACTTTTAACAAGTCACGTAGGATTGGTTTTTTACTTTACCTATTCAACTAAGCTCATTTGAGTTAACGAATATAGATCTTGTGTATTTTTAAATCTGTTTTAAATGTTCTTTGTCAAGTCATTACACTCCTTCCAGCTGCCTCTTCTTGCTGAAGCCTCAGGCTGGGTCAGCTTTCAGTCATGTTTTTGTTTTTTGTTTTTGTTTTTGTTTTTTAATGCCAGCTGTGACTTTTTGTTTTTATTTTTATTTTTTAAAAATAAAAATGTTTAGGGGCTCCTGGGTGGCTCAGTCGGTTAAGCGTCCGACTTTGGCTCAGGTCATGATCTCACAGTTCGTGAGTTCGAGCCCCGCGTCGAGCTCTGTGCTGACAGCTCAGAGCCTGGAGCCTGCTTTGGATTCTGTCTCTCCCTCTCTCTCTGCCCCATCCCCACTCATGCTCTGTCTCTCTCTGTCTTAAAAATAAATTTAAAAAATTAAAAAAAACGTTTATTTATTTATTGAGAGAGAGAGAGAGAGAGAGAGAGAGAGTGAGAGTGGGGGAGGGGGGTGGCGGGGGGGGGGGGGAAGAGAGAGAATCCCAAGCAGGTTCCATGCTGTCAGCACAGAGCCCAATGCAGGGCTCAATCCCACAACCGTGAGATCATGACCTGAGCTGAAATCAAGAGTTGCACACTCAACTGACTGGGCCACCCAGGCGCCCCCATATCACTGTTTTACACAAGTGAACCCTAGTGCTAGCTTGACCCAGGGCAAAGATCTATTGATGGTGTTAAACTGGGAAAAGTAGACACAGGATCAGAGAGGAAACAGGGACTTGCCAGGCTTTACCTTGTATTTTAACAGGGCCTCTGATACGATGATAGGGCCTTGAGAAAGCATCGTTAAGGAGGCAAGCTTCCAGCTGAGTGTTATGTTTTAAAAAACTGTTCTGAATGCAATCTCAGGAATTTTAGAATTGAGAACTTTAACTTACTTGTTATTAGGAAAGAAAGAGTTACTTTGTGGTAAAAGAAGCAAACGGAGACTATGTACCATTTGGGAGTTAAAAAATAACGTGCTGATAATGGAAATCGTCGCTGTTAGAGCTTCTGTTCCAAATGTGGAGACAGATAATAAGTGACAAATTAAATAGATCAGATCAGATAGCGCTAAGGACTAGGAAGTGGAATCAAGGGACGAGTGACAGGGACTGTGGGAGGCAAGCGGCTGCAGGAGCCCAGGGGAGGTGGGAGCGGCCCGGGCAGGGCAGCGACAGCGGAGATGCGTACAAGAGAGCAGACTTGGAATCCATCTCAGAAGTCGCATCGCCAGGACATACTGATGACCGAGGGTGGGGTGTGACGGAGACGCCCCAAGAATGAGGGGTTCCTGGCTTTCTGGCCAGAGCAGATCTACGCGGGTGCCATTTATGAGGTGAGAAAGGCTAGTAAAGGGAGCGTTTTGGTGGAGAAAGTACTGGCTTTCGTGTTTTTACTTCAATTTTTCAAATTTTAACTCCTTTTAATTAGTCTTGCACACGTCTGTTTAAAGAAAGCTCTAGGGGCGCCTGGGTGGCGCAGTCGGTTAAGCGTCCGACTTCAGCCAGGTCACGATCTTGCGGTCCGTGAGTTCGAGCCCCGCGTCAGGCTCTGGGCTGACGGCTCAGAGCCTGGAGCCTGTTTCCGATTCTGTGTCTTCCTCTCTCTCTGCCCCTCCCCCGTTCATGCTCTGTCTCTCTCTGTCCCAAAAATAAATAAACGTTGAAAAAAAAAATTTAAAATAAAAAAAAAAAAAGAAAGCTCTAGCACTTCTGGGAAAAAAACGGTGTTAAGCAAATAGTTACAATAGTATGAAATAGATAAGTAATAGTCATGAACGGTAGCTTAAATGTTCACGAATAACATGATTTGTGTAATTGGCCGAATATGTTGGACTTCACTGAGCTTTCTGAAAGCTTTCCTCTAGTCCAGTTACTTGGGGATTGTCCAAAAATCTAACTCCCACTTGCTTTCGTGAGAGGTAGAACTTTGTGCGAAGACTCATGTTTCTAAGTCAATCTTCCAGTAAGTGCACTGTTCTCAAGTTCCACCTGCACAGAGGCTGCACTAGTGCTGGGGACATGTGACAGACGGTGACAGTGCCATCACCTGCCTTCCCAAACCAAGCATTTTTCTGTGCGGATACAGGTCTTATGCAAACCCTAGAGAGGAAAATGGTCTTGCCGCAGGGCTCGATGGCTGCAAGCTTCCACTGGTACAAAGTTGGCATAAATAGGACTTCTGTAAGTGCGGTAGATTTTATCAGACCTCCTCAATGTTTACTTTGCGAGCTTAAAAATACCTGAGCAATTTAATCCCTACCAGTAACATGTGACTCCCCGGCTGCCGGAGGACCCTGGCCGCTCTTGCGATGTGTTCTATGGCTTCCTTGAAGAACACCATGGAATGAGAAGTCTGGGAGAGGAAAGGGGACAAGAAAACTGCTTGGAGGCACAGGCAGACCACGTGTTCACTGCAGCTGTACATACAGGGACCCAGGAGTGAGACTCAATATTCTCCAATCCTGTCAACTGGGTCACACGTGTGGAAGGGAAACGTGTGCGATGAGGCCTGTCCCTACGTCAGTGTTCCTGTGGGCATGCCGGGGGACAGTATGGGCTGGAGGGAGGAGGAGGGGGAGGAGGGGGGTTCGGGCTGGAGGGAGGAGGAGGGGGAGGAGGGGGGTTCGGGCTGGAGGGAGGAGGAGGGGAAGGAGGAGGAGAGGGAGGAGGAGGGGTACGGGTTCGAGAGAGGAGGAGCCTCTACTGCTCCGTTAGGGGTGGGACATGGGGGCGGGGAGGGGGTTCCCAGGAAATGGGGTCAGGCGTCTGTGACTTGGAGGGCGCCTCTGTGCCGACACCATTCTGCCCACGACCGCAACGTAAGGGGGGCTGTTCCCGAAGCGGCCTCGGCCTCTCCTGCATTTCTCAGCTCCTCTCGCCCTGATCCCGCAGCCCCCACAGCCTGAGTCGTGCACCTGGCTTACAACGCGCCCTGCTAGCGGAAGCCAGCCAGGACGGAGCCGTGGAAAACCCGCAGTCCCAATGGTCCGCCCGATGGGGGCACACCCTTCCCCTGCCCCTTCTTACACTCGCGGGCACACACGCGCACGCGCACACAATAACAGCACTCCTCCGATTTCACATGGTGCGTGTCCGTACCTCTGAGGATGATAAACTCAGCTTCATTTGGAATTCATTCAGTACACTGGCCAGTTTCTCATAGTCGCTGGTGCTCTGATAGAACTTTTTTCTGTGAGGCTTGTTTATATCCAAGAAATCCACAAAGACAATTGAGTCGTCCATCAGTTTTTCTTTGGTCCAATTAATCTATTGTAAGATCATAATTGAATATCTGTTAAGAGCAAAATTCTACTTGTTATGAAAACGAATGTAATATATCTACTCCGGAGAAGCTCTGGGCACAGTCGATCCGGGGGTTCTTCACCTTTTTGTGCCACGGACCTTTTTAGGCTGCGAGGCCTATGCAGCCCTTCTCGGGACGGTATTTATTTTATTTTATTTTTATTTTTATTTAAAAAAAATTTTTTTTTAACATTTATTTATTTCTGAGACAGAGAGAGAGACAGAGCATGAACGGGGGAGGGGCAGAGAGAGAGGGAGACACAGAATCGGAAACAGGCTCCAGGCTCCGAGCCATCCGCCCAGAGCCCGACGCGGGGCTCGAACTCACGGACCGCGAGATCGTGACCTGGCTGAAGTCGGACGCTTAACCGACTGCGCCACCCAGGCGCCCCTCGGGACGGTATTTTAAGTGCAGAGAGTAACGTACAGGGGCTGCAAAGGAAACCACACGCACTGATGTGGACTTCCGTCCACGGTCTCCCTGAAGGCCTGCGGGCCCTAAGAGCCCCTGTTGTGGAAATAGCAACTTGAAGTCTCACCAACAATGAAAAATAAAGACTCTTCCCTTATTCGTGTGTTAAATACCACCGTGCAGCTGGTAGCAGGGGTGGGGGCGGGGAACAGTTCTAGGTCACGACCGCGGTGGTGGTTTCGCAAACCAATCCACGTGATGATGGTTCCCAGACAAACTGCAATCTCCCCGCCTCCACTAATGCTTAATTAAACGCTGGCGATTCCAAATAAAGTCTGCAGTTTAGTCGACAACGACACCATCCCGTTCCCCCGGGGCCAGCTCCTATCTTTCGTACCAAGGTCACGGGCAACCTCCCCTTGAAAGTCGGACCATGTCCTGCTCCCCTAAAACTAGGGGGAGGGAGCATTCCTTCTTGGCCCCATCCTCTCGGCAGGTGCGTGGACCTGTCTCGGCCCTTCCAGGGACACGCCCCCCACGTGGGGTCCCGGCACTGCCGTCACGTGGTGTCCGGCACGCAACTTCCTGACAGGCACTCGGGAGACAAGGTCGAGGTTCGGGTTCCGGGGGCACCTGGAGGCAGCTACCCTGGGTTTGGAGGACCCCACCACCTAACGAGCTCTGTCACCTCGGTCAAGCTCCCAGCCCCTGTCTGCCTCAGTGTCTTCATCTGTAAAGTGAGGGTAACAATGGAACGTACCTCGCAGGGAAGCCTTGGACACCGTCTCTGAAAACAGGTGCGCTCCCAGCGTTAGCTGCTGTCAGCGTCACCGCATGTTGTTGTTTAAAAAGCCAGCCAGCCGACCAGCTGACGGACTGATACTGCATACACCCTCATTCGCAGGGGGGTAACTGGTGACCTTCCGTCCTTCGGGAAGGTTTGTTACTCTGTCTTTAACTTGGGGCACCGCAGCTGTTGCGGCCCGCCACAGGGCAGGAGTCTAGGGCAAACTCGTGTCCTACCCCCTCTACAGCTATTGCTTGGTCTAGCAAAGTGTTTTTTTTTTTTTTTTTTTTTTAAGCTTGTGAAATAAATAAATAATAAATCATAAATAAAATACGACACAGAGAGAGACAGAGAATCCCAAGCAGGCTCTGCACTGTCAGCATTGAGCCCCACACGGGGTTTGAACTCAGGAACCGTGAGATCGTGACCTGAGCCGAAATCAAGAGTCAGACGCTTAACCCACTGAGCCACCCAGGCGCCCCCAGTCTAGCAAAGCCCTAAATCCGAACTGCAGTCGGCATCTACAGGAGAGAGTTTAGGAACTTCACCAGGGGCAGGAATGGGCTCTCTTTAGGTAGTTATTTTAGCAAAGTTTCTGCATCCTTTCCTTCCTACCCTTCCCCTCCTCCCTCCCTCCCTCCCTCCCTTCCCCCCAGATATCTTTATCAAGCACCAACTGAGAGTAAGGAGGGTGCTAAATTCTGGAGACTTAGGAAGAGAGAAAAATCAATGACTTCATTCTCATGGACTCAGAAGCTGGAGGGAGAGGTAAGTAATCACATGATCATAAGTTGTAAGGTAGGAAGAGTCCAGAGTCCTAGGAAGATACAGAGAGGGGACACTCAAACTGCAAAGGGTATGGTGTTGGCCAGAAAAATCCGCCGAAAGAGGAAGTGCGAGCTGGATCTTGAGGGGTGGCCAGAGGCGCGCCTGGGGAGGGACCCACCGAGCGGAGGCAGAGACAGGGGACACTGCTACCTTCCGGCCACCCCATGGGCTGAGATGCCGAGGTTTCTGGTGCGGCTGCGGGCCTGGGTGGGTGTGCCACACCCCCGACCTGAGGTGGGAAACACCGGGCCAGGGCGACCGGGCGGTGCAGAGGGCACAGTGGACAAACACCGAACGGTCTTGCAGGTGGTTTTGCGCGTTGAGCGTGAAGTACCCCGGGGAGCACGAGACAGATCTGGACGGCAAACCAAGGTCTGGCTTTGGAGTTCAGGTTCTTTCTGCCAAACCACCTGTCTATATTCGCAGCGTCGATATAAGGTCTAGTTCTTCCCTCACAAGCTGTTCTAAACACCTGACGTAAATTAGTGCCATTAATTCTCACCTCAGACTACGAGGTGGGTATGCGGGCTACCCCCAGGTCCAAGGAAGGAGAACCGGCCGCCGGCCAAGCCCTGAGAGACTCCACAAGAGAGTGGAGGTGGAGCTGAACGTGGGCATAGGAAGGATTACCCCTGGGCACTTAGCAGGATTATTTTACTAGATGTTAAAAAAAAAAAAAAAAAAAAAAAGATTGGCGGGCGGAGTGATGTGTGTTAACATGAAGACAGCAAGAGGGATCTGGACGGAGGAGCAGGGAACTTGGATTAGAAAAAAATAAGGATGAGAGTGTCTAGAGAATAGTTGTTGTTTTTAATGTGTGTGTGTGTTTTGAGAGACACAGTGAAGCGGAGGAGGGGCAGAGAGAGGAGGACAGAGGATCCGAAGCAGGCTCCAGGCTCCGAGCCGTCAGCACAGAGCCCGACGCGGGGCTCGAACTCACAAACTGTGAGATCACGACCTGAGCCCAAGTCGGACGCTCAACCGACTGAGCCACCCAGGCGCCCCTAGAAAATATTTTTGAAAGTTTTCTGAATTTGTGTCTTGTGTGAAAAGTACGTACGTTCACGAACACAGATTGACATACCCGTGCACGTGTCGTATTCTGAGTTTATGTTCATGAGTGTATCTCTATGGATAAGGTCTGTGTTCCAACATTCTGTTTTTACTGTTGTAAATATAGTAGTACCTTTGAATTTGTCATCTTTCCTGGGCTCCTGCAAATGGGCCGAGAGAAAGAGGCACCACCAAGAAGACGGAAAAGAACAGAGGCGTCACCTCTGGAAAGGAATTCCAAAGCGTCTCCCTAATTCTCCTGAGAGGAGCCAGCAAGGAGGCCCCTCAAAGGCCCTGAGCTCGTCCCTCCGCTTCCTTACAACCCTCGTGGGCCGGTCCACGGGACCTCCCTCCTTCCTTCGGGACCTGGACCACAGGGCACCTGGGAGAACAAAGTTGAAGGGGGCGCAGGTACCGCGAGTGCACACGCCTGCCCGGCCTGGAGAGAAATGAGCAGCCTCAGGGCTCGCGGAGGCCAAATGCACGAGCAGAGGCATCCAGACCCGATCATTTCCATCATATCAAATCTAGACTTATTTAGACATTATCAAGTGAAAAAAGGGGATTGTTAATAAAGCTCCTTTCATTAATACCATAGAAATGTCTAAGGAGGCATCTGGCGGCTCAGTTGGTTGACCGTCTGTCCAACTCTTGATTTTGGCTCAGGTCATGATCTGATCTCACAGTTCGTGGGATCGAGCCCCGCGTTGGGCTCCGGGCTCAGCGCAGAGCCCCTTTGGGATTCTCTGTCTCTCCCTCTGCCCCTTTCCCCCCGACTTGCGTTCGCGCTCTCTAAAATAATTAAAAAATTAAAAAAATTAAAATAAAGAAATAGAGATGTCTGAGGATTTTTAGAAAACACTGCTTTTGCCCAAGATACCATTTGAAATACTTTTTAAAATAGAAGTTTACCTGAAAATAATTCTCAAGTTCTTTTGAAAGAAACTGATAGAAAAGTCCTTTCTCAGCAGAGTCAATCAAACGATCATGGAACACTCGAGTGGCTTCGTGAACAAAGAACAGGGCCGCCGTCTCTTTGGAGTTGATAACGGCCTTCTCAGCTTGTAGCAAGCCTAGGAGAAGCTATTAGAGATCGCAGCATGAGAGTTCCTTTTTAACATTAGAAGGCAGTGTGTGAAGTAAAGGCTCAATTTTTGCACGTTTAGGATTCTGTAAAAACAGAAGCAATTATCCAAGGTAAGAACTGTCCATCTCTACAAGTGACAAACTGAAGTTCTGAGGAGACGGGCCGGTCACCAGTCAGGGAAAGACGGCATGGCATCGCCCCTGGAGGGAGAGGGTCTGAGGACCCCTCGGCCAGGCGCCTTGGAGGCCTTGCCAGCACGGGAAGCCGAGTCTGGACTTTGGTACCGACCTGGAGGCAGGGTGCCGGTGGTGACAGAGACGTGCTTAAGGTTGACGTGTCCTAAGGTTGTGAATTGGGACTCAAACATGATGTGCACTATCTTGGACTATGGAGTCCATGGCAAGGAGAGAAAGACCAAATTCAAAATAGTTGGTCTTCGTATTTTCACTCGGAAAATTATTTGACCGAGGCTAATGACCGAATCGGCACCGCGGGCAACATTTCCTGTCGTGAAGAGCAGGGCTTGTGGAAATTCAAGCATCTTTATGAAATGCAAGTACGCTTTCACTTCCCGAGAGCTGCAGTAACATCTCGGAAAGAGAGCAAACCCCAAGTCTGTGCTTTCCCCGCTGAGAATCTTAATACGCTAACGGTCTTAGCAGCTTCATCACCAAATTCTCTGCGTGGAATTATCTTAATGATTCTTTTCTAAGTGGCTCCCGGGATAAGTGGCTGAGAAATAGCAAAACGAATCGACTTGGATTTCTCCTTCTCCCCCTTCTAATGATCGCATGTTGATGGCAGAGAAATGGAGAAAAGAATCAAGTTAGTAAAATACATCTGCTCACCTTAACATTTACCACGAGGCTAGCGAATGAACTGAAAACACACCTTAAACATGTCTCGAAGGTTAAATATGTAGTGGCACTTGGCGGGGGTCGGCAGCATGTTCTGTACCACTTGGTGGTACACAGCCAGAGAGCAAGATGTTGTTTGATCCTTACTTCTCTGGACGTCGACGGTGAAGTTATTGATGGAGAAATACATTCCCAAATGAGCCTTTAGAAAGAAATGTTATAGTTAGCCCCAAATCTTAAGCACGATCCTTCCTAGGGAATCCCTGATAGAAAGGAGAGGCGTGTGCTCTCACGGAGGATTAATGGCATTTAAAAAATTTTTTTTTTTCAACGTTTATTTATTTTGGGGACAGAGAGAGACAGAGCATGAACGGGGGAGGGGCAGAGAGAGAGGGAGACACAGGATCGGAAACAGGCTCCAGGCTCTGAGCCATCAGCCCAGAGCCCGACGCGGGGCTCGAACTCACGGACCGCAAGATCGTGACCTGGCTGAAGTCGGACGCTTAACCGACTGCGCCACCCAGGCGCCCCTAATGGCATTTAAACCGTTAGCATCTCGAATCCATTTTGAGCAGACGGCAAACACTCAGTTCTCACAAACTGGGGAGAATTCCGGCCGGTCCGAGTCTGGGGAATGATCTAGAGGGCTGTGTTGTGCGTTCTCTGGGGAATATTCATGCCCTACTTGTGTGTATCCCACCGGATGCCCTGGCAATTCTTGTCCCTCTTTGCTCCTCAGTAGGGATCATGAGATGAAACACAAAGTGATAAAACCATTACCTTGGTTTGGGTTGATGTACGCACATGCACACACACTCACGTGCACACACACGCGCACATGCATGCACACACACATTCTTCTACATCAAGACTTTTTCTTTTAGGTGTGGGTTATTGTGTAGAGTTACCAAGTGCTTTTTGAAAATAGATTTAAAAATTAATATTTAAATTTTATATTATGAAGAAGAAAACATATAATTAGTTTTGAAGAAATTGGTAATCTCGCAGATTTTTCCTTTAAAAAATTTTTTTAATGTTTTTATTTATTTTTGAGAGAGAGAGAGGGAGAGACAGAGAGTGAGTGGAGGAAGGGCAGACAGAGAGGGAGACACAGATTCTGAAGCAGGCTCCAGGCTCTGAGCTGTCAGCACAGAGCCTGACACGGGCTCAAACCCACAAACAGTGAGATCATGACCTGAGCTGAAGTTGGACGCTTAACCAACTGAGTTCCCCAGGTGCCCCACAGATTTATTTTTCTAATCAAACTAATTTCAAGTTGAGCTATTTTTCTAATAAGGCATTTCAGATTTTTTCTCTCGTTTTGTATTCTACAATGAAACAAAAAGAACAAATCATTTAGCAAAACTTCAGGTGTGCTGATTAATGACTCAGCTCCCTGAGCTCCAACCCAGAGACACTGGATCAGAATCCTGTGAAGATGGGGTCTGAGGGTCTACACTGCAAACATGCTTTAAGTGTGCATCACAGGTGTTTCTCGGGGCACCTGGGGGGCTTGATTATGGCTCCTGTCATGATCTCAATGTTCATGGGATAGAGCCCTGGGTCAGGCTCAGTGCTGACAGTGGGGAGCCTGCGTGGGATTCTCTCTCTGCCCCTCCCCCACTCTGCACGTGCTCGTTCTTTCTCTCAAAATAAATAAACTCTAAAAAAATCTTTAAAAAGTGTGCACCACATGTATTTCTTATGCACACTAACACAACATTTTTGCTATTTAGAGACAAATTACAACCACAGGCCAGAAAGAATTGGAAAGCGGGGGAGTAAAACCCTTAAGGGAATTTTCGTTCAACATCAGTGGTTTTATTTTATTTTTTAAATTTATTTATTTTTATTTTTTTTTTCAACGTTTATTTATTTTTTCGGGGACAGAGAGAGACAGAGCATGAACGGGGGAGGGGCAGAGAGAGAGGGAGACACAGGATCGGAAACAGGCTCCAGGCTCTGAGCCGTCAGCCCAGAGCCCGACACGGGGCTCGAACTCACGGACCGCGAGATCGTGACCTGAGCCGAAGTCGGCCGCTTAAACGACTGAGCCACCCAGGCGCCCCTAAAATTCTTTCTCAGTAGAAAATGTAGCAGACGTGTTACCTGGAAAATCGTACGTAAGGCGCTCTGTGAAGGATGCGGCAGCACCAGAACGGAAAAGTGTCTGAGGAGGCGCGGGCTCATGTGCCTTCTGGCTACTGAAGGGACACAAGCGGCAACCAGAGAAAGATCTTGAATATTCTGTGGGAAGAGTGAAAAGGACAATGCAGAAAGGGAGGTATCACTCATTTCCCAGCCCCAACGAACCAAGATTTACATTTGTTTAGACAAAAAAAAAATCCCTTACCGCAAAAACAAAAGTTATGATGATAACAGAAATCTATGTTCTTAGAAGTAACCAAAATCCTAAAATGCAATTCCAAGGCGTATTACTTCTAGGAGGCTTTCTAAAGGCCATCAAGAAATAGCCTATCTTTAAAAAAAATTTTTTTTTTTTTTACATTTTTGCATGTTTGAGAGACAGAGACAGAGACAGAGCACAGCAGGGGAGGGGCAGAGAGAGGGAGACACAGAATCCAAAGCAGGTTCCAGGCTCCGAGCTATCCGCACGGAGCCTGACATGGGGCGCGAACCCACAAACCATGAGATCATGACCCGAGCCGAAGTCGGACGCTCAACCGACTGAGCCACCCAGGTGCCCCAGAAATAGCCTATATTTTAAAAAGCAATTACTGGAAAATAAGCAACATGTTATTGAGGCTAGCGAAGAGAGCCTGGTGATGAGCAAGGAACCAGAGGAACGTGACTGAGTCTCCAGAAAAGCCAGGGCTGGCTTGGGGACTGTCTATCCAGCCATAGGCCGTGGATGCACGGTCACATCACAGCATCCCAGCCCTGCAAGCTGGGTGGGGCCCTGCAGGTGTCTCATCTGCGCACAGGAAATGTTTTTTAACAGGTGTGCTTCTGCCTGGGGCCCCGGCCCAGCCACAGAAACTCCACAAAAGGTCAGTTTCACTACTTTCTTCTCAGTTCCAGAACTTCTCCAGGCTGTCCTCCAGACCCATTTCTTGCTCCCTCTCTTGCCCTAGTCGCCTAGGTTCTCCCTGGGCTTCTCCCTCCACTGTGGCTCAATGGATGGTTCAGGATGGTCTGGTGTCTGAGCCGACACCACTCATCAGCCAGGGTGCCGCCCAGGATCCTGGGCCCAAGTTTCTCTGAGACACGAAACCATTTGTAATGCAACCATCTAATTCTACAGATAAAGTCCGTTCTGGAGCACAGGGCTCGTGATTTACCGACAAGGAATCGAATGAGGCATGTCCGTTTACTTTTTAAAAACCTTAAGCCATTCTGATTTGGTTCCATTAACAAAAATAATCGCACAGGAACAGCTCCCTGGGAATTTGTTGAACTTTGCAATACTACTAAAGATCCTTGATGTGTGTTCTTGAAAATAAAGATGAAGAGGGGAGCCTGGGGGGCTCAGTCGGTTGAGTGTCTGACTTCGGCTCAGTTCATGATCTCCCAGTTCATGAGTTCAAGCCCCGTGTCGGGCTCTGTGCTGATGGCTCAGAGCCTGGAGCCTGCTTCTGATTCTGTGTCTCCCTCTCTCTCTGCCCGTCCCCTGCTCATGTTCTGTCTGTCTCTCTCAAAAACAAATAAACATTCGAAAAAAATTTATAAAAAAAAAAAAAAAAGAAAAGAAAAGATGAAGAGTAGTCTTCCATAAAGAGCATGTATTTGTTAGGGCACATTTTCACTAGCTTTTCTCATATGCGTTAACTGCCAACATACTGAAAAGTTTGGATAACTCTTGATGTGATAATAGTGAGCATTTATATATACCCAGAAATTAAACCTACAGGACACTTGTAATTTTTACCAATATTTAATCCTACTACAAGAATCTCCATGAACCCACGGACCTATGTCAAACTGCAAAAGGTGCCATTGGTTAAATTAGTGTGAAATTAGGATTTTGGATTTGTTCTATATGTTCATCTGACTGGATATTCTAAATTTCTCAATTCACTCAAAGCTGTTATAAATATTTCATTGTTGAGTAACAACAGTTAACGTGAACAAGATCTTAGGTACACTGTACCTTCCACGTGAGTTTTTTGGTATCGTAAAGTCCTCCCAAATCCAGTAGCTGTCTGACTAACTCCAGGGGCGGTTGTGCCCCATACGTGTCCGATTCGGGCACATTCAGGTCATCAATGAATATTACAATCTTGAGGAAGACAAAAGGTTTTAGAACACATGAGTTAGTACTGCCTTCCTTTAAATTACAAATTAGGAATAGTAATTATGCTGCGGTGTGCGAAGAAAGTCATGTGTCACGACAGCCCTGTTTTTCTATGAAAAGCAGCAGCCCCTTTTAGAAAGCAGCACGTTTTCAGAAGAGCAGAAACTACTCCACAAGGTCATCCTCTTGGTACCGTTCCCTGAGGCTGTGGGTAGTTTCCCTCTTTCTGTCATGTTCAAAATAACACAACAGACCCTGAGCCATCACTTAACAGTAAGCCCCATGTCACCAAACCCAGAGCGACAGCTGTCTTCTCTCCCAGAATGGAATCTTAAAGTAGACCCTCAGCACCATGAGGTCATCTGCCCGGCGGACCGTGCCAGCCTGGAGGACAGTGATACCACCACAACCAACCGCTATTGGCCCGGAGTAACCTCTTTGCTCCCGTGCCCTGTGCCCGGAAAAGTCGTTCATTTCGTACAGCTTCGTGGAGCTCCCTCTGTCTCTAGGTGGATACCTCGCAGATTCACAAATAACTGAATAAAGCCAATAAGTGTTAAAAGTTTACTCAGCTAAATTTTGGTTTTTAACGGTCCCGAGCCATGCTCACGGGAAGAAAACGTGGTCAAACACGCTGTTCCCAAACCAATGGCATCTAACACATTTTCTTGCCTTCTCTGTTCACGTTTAATATAGATTCCAGGAGCTTCTTTTGGCTTTAGTAATTCTGAATGAGTATAATTCATCGTGTTGGAAACCATACTATATTGATTTTTAAAACCAAAGTCTCCATGGAGCGCCTGGGTGGCTCAGTCGGTTCAGCGTCCGACTTCAGCTCAGGTCACGATCTCACGGCTTGTGGGTTCAAGCCCCGCGTCGGACTCGGTGCTGACAGCGCGGAGCCTGGAGCCTGTTTCGGATTCTGTGTCTCCCTCGCTCTCTGCCCCTCCCCCACTCGCGCTCTCTCAAAAATAAACAAACTTAAAAAAACATTAAAACCAAAAACCAAAGCCTCCATTTCAAAGTGCATTTTCTAGTAATGCGCAGGACTCTATGCTACACTTATCCTTTTCTGTTTATTATTATTAATGAAAATAAGTCACATTATGACGTGAGTGGGTGAAGTTGGTCAGAAGGCATGGGAGGGCTTTACCTGGTTGCTCTTTGGCGCTCCAAGACTGTCTTTCGTTCTTCTTACTAACTTCTTAAGGATCATCTCCTTGGCTTTGGCAGCGGTCATACTGATGCTAAAATTTATCGTTGAGACGATAATTCCTTTATTATTGTCTTTCAGTGAACTTTCTTCAGTTTTGACTTCTGGCTTTTTAATAGTCTTCCCATCTGTTATGCCAAATGTGGAAAGAAACACAAATTTAGAGTACTTTAAGAATATCCGTGATTTATTTTAAGGTGTTAGGAAATACGAAAATTACATAATTTTAGTATATTGTAGTCATTTTCAAGCAATTACCCTGAGGACAGTTCAGTGAGAGAAGGAATGTTTCCAGTGACTTCCTTACTCGTATGTGGTGTGCAGCGTCTCTGTGCCACCACGGCCGCATGCAACGGCAGGACAGCCACAAACTCTGTACATTTCTGCACAATCGACACGGGTAACTTTCTACGACTTAAAAATATCTAGGTTTGCAAGACGTTGCGCATCTACTGGAAGGAAGTGCACGTGAGAGGCGTGAAGGCCGCACACAGGTGTGTCCACCGAAGGCATTGGAAGCAGGACCCATTCATTCCCCGAGCGAGGCTTGTCTACCACGGCCACTTGGGATGGAAAGACAGCAAATGTCATGGGAAAACCAGACCCCAAAACTCTTGTGGCAGGAACCCTGCGGCCAGGCCCTTTCCCTTCCCCGCAGCTCCCCGTGGGCGGCTGGCTCTTCCTCTTCAGAAATGGGGGGCTGCTCCCAAACCCTTCAGTCAGGGCTCTCCAGGACGAGGTTCCGGAAGCTCATCCGGAATTTTGACTTCTCCACAAGCACGAGAATAGAACAGGCCGACGCTGCCTCCAGGGACACCTAGACCTAGTCTAGAATCCCCGGGGAAGCCAGAGTCCCACTTTCTGGCAAGTTCTCCCATAACTATTCCAGCATTTGGGTGGGGCATGGCGTTTGACAGGAGAGTGGATGTTTTTCAGGATTTTCCATTTGAAACTATCGGTGGAAGTGTTGGTTCCGAGATCCCCGACAAGCACACCGTGACTTGCACGAGCAGAGACAGGAAGCAGTTTTCACATGAGGTGATTAATACGCACCTAGACGTGCGGATCCTGTCTTGTGACTTTCAGAGAGCAAGATGTTGATATTCTGCTTCAGGCTGTTGGAACAAAAGGTTTTAAAGATTCAAAATTTGCCTGTTTACCACTGCAGCTGGAGGAACAAAATGTAATCAAAGTGTCAGGGTGTTGACTTTATCTCTCTCTCCTACAGGGAAACAAATATTTTTTCCTGTTTCCGCTTTTTTACAGGTAACACCGTGTCACCGCTGTCACCATCACAACCGATACCCAGACTTAACAACACAGGCTGACTCTAAAAAACAAACCAGACAGGAGCGCCTGGGTGGCTCAGTCAGGTAAGCATCCGACTTCGGCTCAGGTCTCACAGCTCTTGGGTTCGAGCCCCGCGTCGGGCTCTGTGCTGACAGCTCAGAGCCTGGAGCCTGCTTCGGATTCTGTGTCTCCCTCTCTTTCTCTGCCCCAACCCCATGGACGCTCTGTCTCTCAAAACTGAATAAACATTAAAAAAAATTTTTTTAAAACAAACAAATTCTCAGGATTCCAGGCTATTGGTATTTCCAATGGGTAGTGAACCATTATTAACTCACTTGTCCCTTTATAAAGCCCTGCTCCCCTCTAGTTTGGTTTTGGCTTCAGGTGTTTCTTTTTAATATTATCTTTCTTTATTAAAATGTTCAGTTTAGATAGTGAGCATAGAGTGAGATTTATTTTTTAAGGTCCACTATAATAATTCAGATAAGGAAAAATTCTTATGGTATTAAATGTTCTTCGGATTTTTTGCAGCCTCATTTAAGGTCAGTGGGATTCTATTCCAAAATTATTCGTGTAACACATAGGTGACAATGGCCCAGACCAAGAGTGGTATTGGGTAAAGACAGGGGCAGGAGTTCATGATGTCTTGGGAAGACAGGGCAGCCTTGACTAGTGCGGATGCAAAATGGGAACGCGGTTTGGGGGGAGTCAGCCAGGCTTCCCACCAGGAGACCACCTGCAGGGAGGGCAGGAGTCTCTTCCGCACCTGCGCCTGAGCCAGGGGGCCGGGGTTCGTGCTGGGCCTCGAGGGGGGCCCCGGACCCGGGTGTCTGACGTTTACAAGAGGGCCCGACCCAGGTGTCCCCACGGCCCCCTGCTTATTCCGTCCAAACAACAGCACACCTACCATTTTAATTAACTTCAAAATTTTGCATTTTTCTAGGATTTTCATTCCTTCTTTTGTAATTCAGGAAGAGACACAGAGAATGACAAAGTTCTTTGTAAAGAATACTTTTGTATTTCATGAGAAGAAAATGTATTTGTAGTGCAAGAGAACCCATTACGTGCCACTCTTCATTTGTATGTTTCAGGTGCACTTCTTCAGGAAGGAAAATAGCTCATACCTGCACTTTGTTATGTAAAAAAACTTGAGATTTTAAATTTAGTTATATTTAAAATAAATGTAAAAAATTTCTCATTTAAAGGAATTAATCCGGGAGTTAATACTTTGGAAAAGTAAAGATTTCCTTAACCCCTCTTTTGAGTAATTTTGCATTTTTCCATAACAGGTTTGCTTTTTAAAACAAGGCACATTTAGGGGCGCCTGGGTGGCGCAGTCGGTTAAGCGTCCGACTTCAGCCAGGTCACGATCTCGCGGTCCGTGAGTTCGAGCCCCGTGTCGGGCTCTGGGCTGATGGCTCAGAGCCTGGAGCCTGTTTCCGATTCTGTGTCTCCCTCTCTCTCTGCCCCTCCCCCGTTCATGCTCTGTCTCTCTCTGTCCCAAAAATAAATAAACGTTGGAAAAAAAAAATTAAAAAAAAAAAAGGCACATTTATATATTAGAGCAAACTTTTTTTTTTTTTTACCAGACAAATCAAATTTAGAGTTTAAATATACAACCTTGATTTTTTAATTTCGTTATACAACAGGACTTCTCCTAAAATTGACCCATATTTCACATCAAATGCTCCAGGGCCCTCCAACCTTTCAAGCATTTGATTAATGGTAGTGGTTTTCCCAACACCAGAGTCTCCTAAGGGGAAAAAAAAAAGACATTAGGTTAGATTTACAGCCAAGAAAATGAATAGACGTTAACATATTAAGATGAACCAGTAACATTTTACTTGAAAATTGCGTGAAAAAATGGATTCTTTTCTTCCCTTTTTAAAAAATGTGGTTAAGATTGGGTAAACCAGCGAGTAAATATGAAATCTGCTCTAATTATTTACATCTCTTATAAAAGGATAGATTAGGAGTTAGCCGTTATTTAAACAAATTTTTTTTAATGTTTATTTTTGAGAGAGAGAGAGACAGAGACAGAGCATGAGCAGGGGAGGGGCAGAGAGAGAGGGAGACACAGAATCCAAAACAGACTCCAGGCTCTGAGCTGTCAGCACGGAGCCTGACGCTTGAACTCATGAACCACAAGATCATGACCTGGGCTGAAGTTGGACGCTTAACCAACTGAGCCACCCAGATGCCCCAGGAGTTAGCCCGTTGTATTTAATCAAATGTTCATTCACACCTATCACAAATCCTTTTGCTTCTAGCAGAGCAGAGCTACTCCATGAAATGAATTTCCCTGAAAATTTTTGCCAAAACAGTCTTGGGGAGAGAGGAGAGGATGAACTATAGCAACAGAATGGGGAGTCATGACTTTACAATCCACCAAATATTAAGTAAGAATAAGAATTTTCTTAGACCAAATTGGAGGCAAGGTGTGGATTATCTGAGAGTTCCGATTTTGTTTTGCCGAGTACGGGACTCGGAGTGTCGTCCTGTTGCCTCTGGTGACCGGCAGCACTGCGTAGGAGCCAGAAATGGTAAGGAAAGGGTAAAATAAATGCTAACAAAGAAGTGGGACCGTATTGAATTACTCATTTGGTAATGTTAAAAGACTGAAAATTCTTAACATTGGGTTGAGGAACTATATGTGTAAATTTTTTTTAAATTTTTTTTTAACGTTTTTATTTATTTTTGAGACAGAGAGAGACAGAGCATGAATGGGGGAGGGGCAGAGAGAGAAGGAGACACAGAATCGGAAGGAGGCTCCAGGCTCTGAGCCATCAGCCCAGAGCCCGACGCGGGGCTCGAACTCATGGACCGTGAGATCGTGACCTGAGCCGAAGTCGGATGCTTAACCGACTGAGCCACCCAGGCGCCCCTATATGTGTAAATTTTTAAAAAATCAGGCAGTTTCTTTTAATTTTTTCCTTGTATGTAATTATGTGAGTAAATTTAGCTAAACCAATCAACGTTCCTACCATCAGGCACCCTCTGGGGCCATCAGCCCACAGGCTGTGAAGGCCATGCATGTATGAATCCTGTAGTCTACTTCTGGAATTTGTCTGGGAAGGAATGAAAACATGAAGATACTAATAATGTCCTCTGTGGGCAAACATGTGGGGAAATGGGCATTCATATACTTTTAGTAAGAATATATATTGATATATAGTGTATAAAGCTTTTCAGGGCGTATCTTTTCCCCAAGTTTTGACATAAAATGTTTAGACTAAGTAATTACTAAGCCTCTTCCTAACCCTGAAATTCTCCTGTTTTTTTTTTTAAAGTTTACCTATTTCGTTTTGAGAGAGAGAGAGAAAAACAGGCAGAGAGTGAGTGGGGGAGGGGCAGAGAGAGAGAGGGAGACACAGAATCCAAAGCAGGTTCCAGGCTCTGAACTGTCAGCACAGGGTCTGACGTGGGGCTTGAACCCACGAACTGTGAGATCATCACCTGAGCTGAAATCAAGAGTTGGACACTTAACTGACGGAGTCCCCCAGGTGCCTCTGAAATTCTCCTTCTTTAAATCTTTTTAATACCTGTGAGAAGTACAGGGCAGAAATTCTTTAAAAGAAGGCTGATGAGGAAAGAAAAGGACACCGTGTCGCTGGTGGCGATATGGTTGATGTTCTCGCCGTACTCTGTGATCTTCAAGAGGTTCTCGCTGGATGCTTGCGGGTCAGCTAGCATTGAAGTTCCTAAGGTAAAGTTTTTAAAAAAAGTTTCAAATAGCCTATACATAAATGTTAAGCTATTTTTTTAGGTTCTAAATACTTCCTGGAAAAGTCTGTTTGGTATAAAGCGATATCAACATGTGCGGATAGGCGAAACCCGATGCAAGTGCCTGGGAGGGGGGTCCCAGCGGATCTCGTCCACACTCGCAGCTGGAAACCACTCCCCACCCCGCCCCACCATCCCTAAGTCTAGCATGTACACACCCTCCCTCCCACCCTCCCACCCCCCTGTGCTCTGCCCGCTCCTCCTCCTCGTTCCCTGGAGTGCAAGTGAAGACAGCCCCTCTCCTGCGTCCTTTTAAAGAACTTTGCTCCTTTGGTGAGCCTTCCCCCCCCCCCCCCCCCATGATCTGTCTCTTTCTTTCTGCTGAAATTTTCCATTGTGGAAACACATATGCACTAGTATCTCCAATCTCTTTATTGGTTGAACTATGGGAAACTGACATTTAGTAAAAACCCGTTGAATATAGGCAATTTTATAGGAAGTAAAACACACACACACACACACACACCCACAAACAAAAACTAAACCAAATCTCTCTTGATACAACAGCTTCCTGTGAATACCATCCCAATTCTTCCCCCCACATTACACAGCCAAAACTCTCGAAAGGGTTAAATACAACACAGACCTCACTTCATCTCTGAAGCACTAGAAACGGACCAGCCAGGACATTCACATGGTGCACAATTCAAACGTACATCAGGGAATGCACTCAGCGGTCTCCCTCACTCCCTCATCCCAGGGACCAGTCCCCACCCCACACTGTGTACCCTGCACAGCAATTATTAAAAATTTAGTACATTTTAGAGATCCTCTATCCCACAGAGACTTCTTTCTAGCTAATATTCTTCTATTTGATGAATGTATCGTACTTTTCTTACCAGCGCTCCAGCAATGGATAATTACTGTGGTTTCGGTCTTGGGCTGACTTTATGTAATATACGCCTACCATTTTGCACATAGCTTCTCATGTGCACAGTTGTCGGGTCACTACAAAGTGGGACACGGTTTATAATTTTGATATGTATTGACAAACTGCCTTCCAGTGCTTTCCTTCCAAAGCACCTCACACAGCCAGTGGTATTTCTGAGATGCTTTCTGGATTATTGTATGAACAAAATGTGGGGTTTTTTTTTTCTGTTTTTTTTTTTTTTTTTTTTTTT